AGAGCGTGGCAAGGCGGCGTGTTAAATTGACCAAAAACTTGAACTCGAATCCGGATTTTTTGGGTTAAAGGCGCAGCCATGGCTTGCCAAAAGAAAATGTAATAAAAACCCACTGAATAATCCAAGACAGCAGACTGTTTTATCACCCTTTAATGGGCTTGTATCTTAGCTTTCATTTTAATAGAAACAACAATGAGACATTACCACCCTACGCAATAAATATATTAAATATAACTAATCTAAAATGATTGCATTTTCTTAAAAAACTGGGTAATTCTTAAAGTTTCCAAATGTTTGCTTAACTTTTTTATAATATTTTATTCCTTAGCAACTTCTTGGATTGATAAGATATGGAAAAACTAATTGATTCGGGTATTTTTAATTGTAATTATACATATGTTTATTAGTTTCCCAAAATAATATGTTAAGTCAGGTATTCTTTTCTCCATAACTTGTTCTTTTCTAATAATTACTGTTAATTAATACTGTTTTAATTGGAAAAACCGTTAACAAAATTATACATTAAACTAAGATCCCCTTTACCAAAAGAGCATTCCAAATTGGGAAGTGCCTCGCCACAAAAGCTCAAACTTGGCGGGTGGATGAAAAAGAGGAAGCGGTTTAATTCTGCTTGGTCGCTTTCACTTCCGGCTCATCAGGCGGATTCCCCCGTATATCTTTCTATATGTGTGATTCCGGACCGAACCCACCGCCCTCCCCGCCCACTCGCTGCTCAAACTTGCAACTTGCAACTCGGGACTTCAACTCCGAAGTGAAGTTCCTCCATCAGCGTCATCAGCAGAAGCTGAAGACACAGCAGCTGGCAACTGCAAGTGGGTTTTGATTTCACGTGGGGAGTGGCAGTGGTAGTGGTGTGGGTTTTTCCTCTATTTCTGCCACAGAGCAGCGGGGGAAATGGGGAAAATGGATGCGGGAAACTGCCGCCTAATGCTCTTCTTCTACGCAATCAAATGTCTGTTTGCTCTTCTCTATTTAAATTGGGCATTACCAACGCTCCGGTGATATATGTTTCCTCTTTTGTTTGCCTGACATCTGTGCAGGCGGTAGAAGTGGATCGGGGTCTTGAATATGCATATAACGATTACCATATGCTCGAATCACCCCATGGGAACTCACCGGAATGTGCGAGCTAAATGATAAGACCAATTAGAAAGTGGTTTGTGAACAAACCGCCGTTGTAGATCACTTCTGACACTCCACACAAAAGAGCCAAACTTTGATTATCTATTCCGAGATTTCCTTTCCAATTGCCGCCACTTGAACAAAATGTTTGTGTAGTTGGCGGTCGAATCGGATTAAAACATGATATATGAGGTTATACTCCAAACCAAATAAGAATGGAAACTTGGGAGATAATTCTTGTTATTCTCATAAAATGTATAACACCTTTTACTGTTGTGAACCTTGTTCACTTTATTGTTCATTTTGTGTTCATTTATTCATTTTGTTTAATTTTTAAGCTATTCAACTGAAGTGAAGTTAACACACAGATAATAGTTTTTAAAACTTTTAAGACGTCTTGTCACATTCTTTTAAATTTGCACAACTGTGCTTTATATTTTCTGTAAAATATTTTGTGTGTCAGAACTAAGCTCTGCATGTTTAGCCAGTTTAAACTCACCTATCCCCAGCTTATTCACGCCATTTTTCTCTCGTTTTTCCCCACTCGTTTGCCCTTCGTTTCACTCAATTAGCAAAGTCAATAGGAAATGCCGCCGTTGGCTCCACTCTCAATTCAGTTCTGTGCTGTTCTGTTCTGTTCACTTTAGTTCAGTTTTGCTGACGTTTCAGGCATTCTGCTTGTTTAATTTATAAACGTCAGAAACTTCACACACTCCCTTCCATTTTACCCACCAGTTAAGAGCTCTATTTGAATTTTCAGTGGGAGCACAAAAGGGCGATATTCCCACACATTGCAATGAAACCCAAATGGCAAGTGCAAATAAAATACTAATACGAATACGTATTTCACATAGTTTCACAGCTTATGTGATTAGCAGAAGCCCTTAAAAAAGATCTAATATCCCATCAGTTGACTCGGCTTACGGACTGAGGATATATGTATATAGATATCAGCCTTAAAGGAGCAGTTTAATTATTAATTAGGAGGGCTCTTGACACACAAGGCGAACAAGCGAAACTTTGAATGTGGGACACAAGTTCAGCGGCAGCAGAATGCGGTTTGGGCTAAAATGTGGGCCAGAGTTGAATAATACAAAAGATTTCACTGCAACGAGCTCGGAAAGCGGTGAATTCAAAGCGACTTCAACCTGTCAATCACATGTCCTTTAATTAAAAACCTATTCATTTAACCTCGCTGCCTATCAATCAATCGATTAATAATGTAAATAGAACTAGTTTTGAAATTTAATCTTATTCTTCTCGTCAAATGTCGCTATAAGTAAATCAAATTTTTGAAATTTGTTTTGCTAACCTAATTCACATTAATAAAAATAATTTTCAAAATTATATTTTTTTAGCTTGAGATTGAGAAGCTCCGTCTTTAATGAACCTTTCCATTTTGGTATAAATTTAATTTTTGCAGTTTGAATTTAAATGTTTGAAACCTCCAACCAGATATTTTCAAATATTTATTTATAAATAGTTCAATGCTCAATGTGCTAAATAGAAATGGAAAATTGGAGCAAATAAAATGAAACGTAAAAGAGATTTGAAGAGAAATTAAGGGAGGGCAGTTGGCCGAAGAAATCCTCAAGTGCAAGGAAACTCAAGAGTCAAGCAACCACCACTTGAACTCCTCCATCTCCATCTCTGGCCTTTTCCCCTCTATAAATAATCCCCATCGCAGATGCAATAAAAGCACCAAACATAGAACACCCAGCCTTTTTACAGATCCAATTCCCCTCCCATTGGAGGAAACTTGCATGCGGGGGGATCAATTGGATGATGACGACGAAAGTCATGCAAATGCCTCCTAAGAGAATGAAATAATAAAAATATAAGAACAAGAGGGGCGAGTTCAACTTGTTGTCTCCCCTTCGAATTTACACGAGTCGTTGGCAGACCTCTCAAGTGATCTTTCCCCCGGGATCTCCGTTTCCATGTCGCCCTCCTCCACGTTCGAGTTAATAAAGATCAATTGAATTTAAACAAAGCAATTCTTTCGAGGAGGAACAGGAACATTCCGGCTGAGTTCCCTCCACCGTTTTCCCTATGAGATGTCCAAGACAAGTGAGTGCGTCCAACTCTTGCTACAAGTGACAAAAGAGGGAAGTGTTCCCCCCGAAAGCAAATGCGCATTAACATGACTATAATTTCAGCAACAAAAGACAACAAATGTGGAGGGAGGAACAAAAAAAAACAATTAAAAGACATCCAAAACAGGAAACCAAGCAGAAGTGAAACGAGCTGCAGAAGAATCAAAAGCTTGACCCAAAACTTGTTTAGACTCTCTTCAATCATCTTCTCCATTCTTCTTTTTCGGTCATTAGTCAAAATTTGAGCATCGAAATTAATTATACAATACAAGCCACCACAATGAATGGGAAACGTTTAATTGGAGGGAAAGCCCTAGAAACGGAAAAACGAAAAAAAAAAAAACTTAAATAATACAAGCCACAGCAGCAGAAGCTATTTAAAGTTTCCAAACAACTTCTACAACGACGACGAAGACTTCCACTTTCCGAATTGGACAAAACTTTTTGTTACATTTACAATTTGGGACACAAAAGACGCCAAGTTGCTGGCAAAAAAAAAAAAGGCTGGCCAAACGAAATCTTGACTTTGGAGTTTGTAGGCATAGAAAATTCTGTTTGGTCGCAGTTTCTTAGACCTTTTTTCTCCGCCTTTGATTTGCTTTCCATCTCATCGAGTGAAAAAAAAAAATTGGCAAGCGAACCTCTTGAAAGCGAAGTCTAATTAGGCGATGTCAATGAGTGGAAATGGGAGCAGAACCGAAGATTCTCTTGGAGATTAAAGTGCAATGAAAGTGAGCGCCACGGAGGAAACTTCCAAAGAAAAAGACAATTGCATAACTTTGCAGTTGGAGCAAAAGTTAAGGGCCACAATCATTAGCAGGCGACCGGAAAAACGACAATTAAGGTGAAGCAGTGGAATAACTTCATAAAAAAGTTTTTTCTTATCTTCTTTTACAAAGTTCATTGTAAAACTGTTAGGTAAAAAGTAAACATTTAAAGTTCATAAAAACATAACATCTTTAATTCGATTTGATGCACTTCAAATACAAATGTATAACCCAAGAAACTGGTTCACACAAGGCATTCAGTTAAATATTATATACTGGGGGTATATCTATATCTGACTACTCACATAGAGAGAAAACATAACAAAAAAGACGGGAAGCAAATTGCAATAAAGGGGCGAATGCAAAGACAGTGACAAGTCGAAATATTGTCCCCCTTCTATCGCTGCATCTTTCCTCTTCTGCTCTGCCTGCTTGACCACTTTTATTTTCATGCCTCAATTGGTGCGCCGCCCCACTCCCCTTTTTTTTACCCCTTTTCCCCGACATTTTCCTCAAGCTTACCCCTTGAGCCCCGCTTGACTGTCCATCCTCCACGGAGTGAAAAATTGATTGTCATGCAAAAGTGAACTTTAGTTTCGAGTTTTGAGTGAAGTGCGCGAGGTGAAGAGGCCCAGTCGAGAGTGGAGAGAAAATGTATATAAATAAATACATAAAAGCTATTGTCATTCTTCTTCTGCCCGTTCGTGGCTTCCGAAAGCGAAAAAGACTTTGACTTTGGCACAGAAGAAAAAAAATGTTCACAAAACATGCAGTTGAAAAGTGTACATAACAGTTAAAAAAAAAAAAAGATAAATTTGTTCCATTAACAAAAAAAATTTACGAAGACTTTGAATTTTGTTTGTTATAAAAACAAAAATTTCTCTCAATACTGGTTGCCTAAGAAAACCTTGCAAGATTAACATTGTAATCAATACAAAATACTAGAGTTTTTCTTTTTTTTTTTTTAGAATTTTGTCGATGCATTTTCTTGGGATTTTTGTTTTACAACTTCACAATCACCTAGTTGGCAACCTTGGCTGTCAAATAAAAGCTACTAGTAAGCAAATTCTAATCAAGACAGTGACTGTCAAATCGAGGAGATTTTGAGAAATAAAATGAATTCCCAGTTCACCAAAAAAGCAACAGTAAGTGTGTGTGCTCAAATGTTTTCGTAATCAGTAATTTCGTAGTAATCCGCGATATACTATATATCCCAATGTAAGCCAGAGCCAACAACAACACCTCCTACAGCTATTGAACTAAAGACGACTATCTTCAAACTGGCGGGTCCAAAATCAAAGTCTGCGACATCGGTGGCGAAGCAGCAGAACCGTCGTCGCCGCAACGATGTGCCACCACCACCAGCGGCAAATAACTCGAAAGTCGGCAACAACATCGGAGGATCCAATTCCGGGGGTTCCAATTCCGGAGGAGGCGGTAATGCCGGAGTAGTTTCCAATAAGCAGGGCAACAAGGAGTCCTGCCAGTTTGTTGCAGTGCGACGCAAACCACTGGGCGAGTACATGGTGCTCGAGGCTCCACCCACTTCCAGTCGCCCATCTACATCCGATTCGCTTTCGTCCGTGATCTCTCCTCCGATGAGTTATGCCGCCGCCGTGGAAATGCAACCGGAGACAACGCTCAAGATCAAGGTGGTGCTATCGCCGCGTCTCAAGCGGGCCAGCAATCAGCAGCCCGTGAAGCGTCCGAGTCCCAGGAAGTTATCCGAGAACAAACCGAAACCGATCCTGCCGGCGCAGACCAAACCACCATTGGTTCATGCGAGTCCCAAGCGGAAAGTGGCACCACAACCACGCGTTGCCCAGGTGAATCCGAAGCCAGTCAACTTAACGCCAACGAGCGGCAGCAAGAAGTCCCGGGCCAAGAGATCCAAGAAGGCCAAGCAGAAGCAGCGGGCAGAGGCTGCTGCCAAAGGGCCGCAGCAAGTGCCACCGCCGAAACCCACCGAAGATCTTCACCAGAACGATGATGAACCCAAGTTCTCAGACGCCTATGTCTACCTGAATCACCACCACGAGCAGATGAAGCGCATCCTGGCCGAGCAGACGGCTGGACAGGAGCCTCTACTTCCGAAACGTGGCCATGTGAAGCCCGGTCAACACAGCGTCCAGCTGCCGACCCATCGATCCCTCTTCGATTTCGATGAACGGCTCTTCAAGCGCGGCGATCTGGAGGCCGCCGCTCTGTTGGCCCAAAATAAGGCCATGTTGCGCAAGTGGCTGAACCCCAGCCTACTGATCTCCTAGGCCCCTCTACAAATTCTATCAGTTTCTCATTTATGTGTTTCAAGTAAATATGTTTAATCAAAATTCAGCGCTGTCAGTCAAAGCGACTTCAAATTTTCAGCCCATGGGAGATTAAACATTATTCCGGTTATAATCGCCAATAAATAGTTGTTTAATAAAAAACAAAACTAGGCTTTAAATTTAAAGTGTAAGTAGCAAACAAATAAGATTTGTGGGTTTAATTTAAATTTTTCTACTTCTGCATGTAAGTTATACCCTTTTTCTATATCTGATGATGATTAAGCGAAACTATTTGATATAAATAACCCTTTATATCAACCACTTCGTCATCTCAATGTTTTTAAATTTGATTAGGTAAAAGAATCGATAGTTTTCTCTCAGCGCATTGCTTCCTCAATCTTGCTAATATCCCTATTGCTCTCTCACCGTTTTGAAGTTTGTTGCTGTAGTCATTTGTCACCCGAAAAGGATGCAAAAATTAAAACATGGCCCAGTGAAAAGTGATGGCCAGTTGGGGCGGCCAAAAAAGGGGACTTACGGCGGAGGGAGGGGGGTTTGAGGGGTCAGGAAAGTGCAAATGTGTGCCACGACGACAGGAGCGGAGGTGCGCAGAAGCCAAAGGGGGCGACTCGTTAAGTGGCAAACGGAGTCAAACGGACGGCGACGCTTTTATGTTTGATGCTTCGCTGCCTCTTTGTGCGACTTCGACTTCTACTTCAACTCTCTACTCTCCAACTTTCCTCCTCTTTCGCCTGCTCGCTTTGTGCTCGGCGAATTTGGCCAGAAAAGGCTGGCCAAAAACTGGCACGTTCCTATATAGCTAAAGCCACACAGAGCTCCTCTCTTACTCGATCTCCCCCCCAACTTCCCATGACAACATGACAACAAAGAGGTCATTTACTTTCCTTGCGAGCATGAAATAATCGTTCGTCGTGGCTGTGACTCTGAAAAAAAAAGATGTAAAAAACATCGAAAACAGCTCGAAAAGTCAGGCCAAAGCCAAACAAAGCGCAAAGCAAAAAGTCAAACTCACATATTTCGTGCGATATAAAGCGCAAATGCAACAATGACTGCTATTGGTATTGGGTACAAGTTGAACTTGCACCGGAAAGATACTCTTTATTTGGGCCCCAAAACTTATACTGAAATTCCATAAAAAGATAATTATCTTGTGTAAAGCAATACATGTAAATTCATATTATGTGTTATTAGTAAAAATAATATGCCTAGTAAACATTTATTCAAAATTCCAATATACCCCTTTTTCTAAACTGAAGAAAAGGCAGGAAGGAAAATATAAAGCCGAGAGATAAATGCAATTGGCAACAGAAGCGACTGTCACAGAGGATATAGGCACGGGAACAAGCCCACTTTATTGGCTACCCAGTCAAGAGTTGACTTCTCCATTCCGTATCTCCGCTTGTTTTAATTTTTTGGTGGAATCAAAAATCGATTAACAATGCGCCAGCCAGCAGCAGCGATGCGCCGCAAAAGCCGCAAAACTTTAACGGCACATTTAAAAAGGCATTTCTTTGAAACGCAAACGTATTCGCGTGCCAATCTACGAGTGTTTGTATCTATGTGAGGAGGAAGAAAGAAATAAGAGATAATTGGTATAAAATACCAGTTTATTGCTGTCACGAGTATCGATTTCTATATCAGGATGTGTCACGTGCAGATAGCACACAAAGCCAATCCTACTGCAAAGTCCCTATAATTTTATCCTCGTTTAGTTTAAATTGGGGTGATTCAGGAGAAATGAAAAAAATTATATTTCTCATCTCCCTTGGATGAAAAATTCTATTGTTCAATTTTCATGGTAAAAAACACTAAATCATTGCGTAAGCAAACAATAGTTTAAACTTAGCTTCTGATCTCATAGGCTTGAATTAGTCAGGGTTTTGAATTGCTACAAAATGCACTACAGTGATTAACCGTAATGTTGGAAATTGAAAATGAGACAAAAATATATATTTAAATTATAACTTTTTTGTAGGTTTTTTTTCCAGAACTGAATTACATCTTGAAAATGTAATAAATTAAATTAATGTTATAAAAAAATTTAATTATAAAATATCAAAGCCATTGAAACCATTTAGAATATATAATTTTGAAAAAAAAAACCACACAATTAGTATGCGCTCAGCCAGTAAAAATGATTGATCCCCTCTGCATAGCAATCATTTATTTGTCAAACTTGTGACCTCATATGGTACGAGATCTATTACTCAACTTTTATACATAGGCTGTTGTGAAATGCATGCGTTTAAACTACATATTTCGCAAACATACAGACTCACCCAGAAAAACATGAGACAGACACAAGTTAAACACGAAACTACACAAGAAACTAATGCAATTTAATGTAAAGGTAAACTTGCACTCCCCCAAACTTCAGCCCCCTTTTCTCGGATTTATCTAATGCCATGTTTACAAGTTTCAGCATTTCCATTAGGCGAAAAGCACACGCAGACGCATATAAATGTTTTATAACCGACTTCGGTGCGTCTGGTGACTTTAAAATAGACTTCATTACTCCATTGTCTATAATTAGAAACTGCTGAATCGTATAAGAGAAGAAGAAACTCTAGAAAGACGAGACTATAATTAGGATGTGGTTGGCGGCAAGGGGGCTTTGTATAGAGTAGGAGGGGTTCTGAGATTGACACGTTTCAACGCTGATACTCGAAGCCGATTGCCAATCGGAATTTGTTGATGGATTCAATTCGATTCAAAAGGGGGAAACCGAACCGAATCGTAATGTAAATGTTTGTCTTGAATGGTGCGTTATCAGCTTCCAAATTTCGTCGAAACAGCAACGCAGACCCTCTAAACATAAACACAGATTGACAGTCAAGCCAAGGGCAAAAAATCGAAACTTAAATAAGGAACGGCCTCAGTCTCGAGTGCCACACTTAGCGGCTGACAAAAGTTCAACAGAAATAAACTGGAATTAAGCGTAAACCAATAAGCACACGGGAACTAAAAACTAGGTTCGAAAGCCCCATTTTATAGATCTGTTAAACGATTAGTTGAATACTCATTATTTAATCTGTAACGATTTGAGCCATTTATAGTACACAATTGACACGATTGTGACTTACATGATTTACACTAATGCTCAAATAAGTATTGCGTCAAATTTTGGAGCGTTTTTAAAACAGTATTTACTAAAAGTTAACACGCTGGCTTGCTTTTATTTAAGCAACGGATATACGTTTGACAATCTGTATTATGATCTAAAATGTAATGCATTAAATAGCAATTACTCAATTCATCATTCACAGTCGGCAAAAGTAGTTTAAAATGTGATTTAGTTATTTAGTATACATTTGATAGACTGATAAAATGGACGTCAAAAGGCTCTTAACTTTGTTTGATCTGTTTTTGGGCACCGTCCTATTGGAAAGTGTTTTTGCTAAGGTCAGTCAATTCAATAAAATATTAAAACTATTTCTAAAATATTTTTATTTTTGCGTGGCAAGATGGATGCTTACATGACCAATCTACAGTGCCTTAATTATGCTCCAGAAATATTTAGTAATATGAAATGCAGTTTAAACCGAACCGCACAAAGTTCGATGGACTTTGAGTTTATTCCGACCCAAGATATTAAAGTCGTTAACGCCTCCTACGTAGTTACGATCAAATTTGGTTCAAAGTGGACAAACCTGACTATTGAACAACTAGACATGTGTAATATTTTATCAGGTGTGGAATCAACGTTTTTGATGAAGATGATAACTTCTCAGATCCGGCGATACGGAAATTTACCTCTACATTGCCCATATAAAATGGTAAGTAAGGCGGTCGGTTAGTAATTTTTGGACGCATTTATAAATTTCTCAATTTATGTTAGAATAAGCGCTATTATGTGACTGGATTTACAATCAATTCTAAAGCTATACCTAGCTACTTGCCAAAACTACATTTTATTTCGGACTTTGAAGTATATTTTTTGACTCGCAAGGCATTTCGGATAATTCTTAATGGCCATCTTGGCCATCGAAAATAATGATGTGTACCAAATTCCATAAGGTCAAAAATGTCTTTTTCATTGCATAATTATTAATAAAAAAAACTAATAATATCAAATGCAAACAATAAATATTGTAAAAAGCAGGAAGTTCAAAATCGAACGCAAGCAAATAATTTTTTATTATAATAATATATAATTTACTTCCTAAATAAAGAATTTAAAGAACAATATTATTTTGTTTCGCAATTATTTTAATCCGATGTTTCAACACTCTTGCAGGTATTAAAACGAAGTTTTCATTTATTTCATATGGATCCAATAGTCATTCCAACTAGCATAAAGACAAAATTTGACCAACATTTTTCAATCTTTAATATGGAAATTCATATAGAAAAACGTCCAACTTAATTCTAATTAAAATAAATAACACCTTATAGGGTGTAACATGCTTCCTTGTATATATTACAAACTATGCAACAGTTATAGTATATCCATTAAAACTACATTTAACAATCTGTGTAAAAATCTATAATTGCTTCGTTCATCGGTCGGAAAACTATTTAAAAATGTGATTTCGTTATTTAGTATACATTCGATAGACTGATTAAATGGACCTCAAAAGGCTTTTTTCTTTGTTTGGCCTGTTTTTGGGCACCGTCCTATTGGAAAGTGTTTTTGCTAAGGTCAGTCAATTCAATAAAATATTAAAATTATTTTTAAAACATTTTTATTTTTGCGTGGCAAGATGGATGCTTATATGACTAGTTTTGAGTGTTCTAATTATGCTCCAGAAATATTTAGTAATATGAAATGCAGTTTTAATTGAACCGCACAAGGTTCGTTGGATTTTGAGTTTATTCCGACCGAAGACATTGAAGCCGCTAAAGCCTCTTACGTAGTTACGATCAAAATAGGTTCAAAGTGGACAAACTTGACTATGGCACAACTAGACATGTGTAACCTTGTATCAAGTGTGGAATCCCGGTTTTTAATGAAGATGATAACTTCTCAGATCCGGCGATACGGAAATATACCCCTGTATTGCCCATATAAAATGGTAAGTAAAGCGCTAGTAATTTTTGGAGACCCATTTATAAATTTTATAATTTATGTTAGAATAAGCGCTATTATGTGACTGGATTTACACTCGATGCTAAAGCTATACCTAGCTACTTTCCAAAACTACGTTTTATTTCGGACCTCCAAGTATCTTATTTGTCTCGCAAGGCCTTCCGAATTATTATAAATGGCAATGTTAGCAATACTAAGTAATTGCTAAATATTAAGCTACACAAATGCATAAATGTTTAACAACATGGAAGATTTTTCTACTTTCTATAATTTCACTGATTGTTCCGATGGCAGCTAAGTTATGCAGTCTTGAAATTCTTCTTAGCAGCTGCTAATTTGGCGAATACCACTGTATCAGATTTTAGGCTTGAATGTGTGTGAGAACGCAGTAAAACAAAACTGGTCTCGAGTCTCAAAAATATGCGCTCAAGGTCGGTCAACGGATTTGCTTTTGTTGCTTTTCGGAAAGAAAACAACAAAAATAAAAACAACAAAGCAGTGCAATTAAAAAAACAAAAACATTGCAAAAAAGACACAAGATCGAAAAGCTGAAATGCAACAAGCGGCGCTGCGTAAAAGAGAGGGAAACAAATAATTGGAGAGGGAGCCCAAAAATTCTGAAGCGGAAACGACGGCGGCAAACGTAAATTATAAGCAATTGTAGAAATTTCCTGAGTTGGCGAAATAAAATGAAAACAGTCATTTTTTGTAGTTGCTGTCGCCACCCGCGCACTCTTACACAGAAAATAACGTTCATGAGAACTAATCATGGAATATGTGGACAAAACCAAATCATAATTTTGCAAAATCTATATTTTTGATATTTATATACATTTAAGAAATTAAATTTCACAATTAGCAATTACGAATTTGTAATTTAAGAAATTTTATTGGTATTTGGATTTTAAGTATTTTTGATAAGAAATTTATTAAACTTGCAATATTTGTCCCAACTTCTGTCTAAGGAGAACACGTTTAATAAATTCTTGATTTCCTAAAAATTACTTCTATAAAAATTGAGTTTTTTCCGGTGCACTGTAGTGCCATTACACCCACACACCAACACTCGCGAAGCTGCGCCGTTATTTTCCAGTAAATATTTGAATTCCGCGAAGCGAATGGAAAGGCAGCCAAACAACTTTTGCGGTTATTAAGCATAGGATAATAAACAGAGAAGCAGAGCAACAAAAAGGCACGCATGATCAATGGGGGAATGGGGGGAAAATCAAGGAGAGGGAGCGGGAGAGCAGAGCCCACGGCCATGTGAAAGATAGCCGTCTCGCTCTGGCGCCCGCAACAAGTGCACGAAACCGCGGCTTAAAACAAAAAACAGCCACCAAAAACTATATAGAGTATAGAATCTGAATAGGATGGTAATGAAAACTAGAACTCACTTTATCCAGACACTTGAGCTCCTCGATGGGATAAACCACCTTTTGGCAACGCGCACAGGTTTTATTCATCTTGCCGCTCTTTCCTTCTTCAATTCTTATTTCTTCGACTGCGTGTGTATGTATAAGCACTTTTATTTACACACCAGGATATTGTTGCTACACGTACAATTCTCCACTTTTCTAGGGACACTTTTACCACTCCACGATTTCGCACACGAAAACCATAGGCTCAATTTTGCATATTGACTGTTGGGACTTGCGATTTTGGAGAACCTGATCGGATTCGGATTCGGATCGGAGTAGGAACTATGGGAATGTATTTGTTGTGTGTGCAGGTATGGGCCGAGAATTTGTTTTACACTATTTCACAGAAAACATCTAATAACTGGTTTGCTTGGTTGTTTTCGTTATATAAAAAACTGCCGATCGACTGTCGACGTTTTATTTATCCAATTTGCACTTTTTCGTATGTGTTTTACTAATTTCCAGCTGTCGCGACTGCGCTGCAGGTAAAAAAGCGGAGCGCGCAGAGCGAAAAAGAAGAGGAAGAGCTACTGGCGTAGGCGTGTGTGATTTTATAATCCCGTTGTTTTTGATAACACCTCCGAAAAATCGTAATTTATTGGCCGTGTACTACTTTAAAGGTGATTTTGACTGAGGCGCGACAGCAACGAAACGACGCGACCCTCCGCGACAAGACAATTCCGTTCGATTTTTAAAATTCGACTGTGAGGCATGGTAGAAGAAGTACAAGGTGGTCTCGTCGGGTAGTGAGACCCGAGAGCGCCACCCGAACGTTACCGGACTGAACCTGAACCAATCATTTTTGTCCGCTAGAGGCGCTTTTTCAACGTGGTTAACAGAAATTTTAAATAAGAAGTTTTTTAAACGGGAGAAGTTCTCTGGGAAACCTGGAGACAGTCGAAATAGCCTCTGAATGTAAACGTACCCAGACCATTTTGCACCCAAGTGCGAGTTGAATGGGGGTTGTTAACATTCGACTTTTAAAGGTGATGCACGTTTTTTACTAGTGTTGGGCAGTGTTGGGTGGCTTAACAGAAATACCTTAACAGAATTCGGACAACGAGAGCACCATCCTAACCTAGCGAATAAACAAACTGGCTTTATCCATGCAAAACGAGTTCAAGAAGCGGGATCTACTTATTTTTTAAATATCACTTTTTAATTGAATACCTATTAGTAGGTATTTAAATATTAAAGAAAGATATTGGTTGCGAAGAATTTACTTGAAGGCTTTTTCCAAATCCTCAATAAACGATTTAATTTAAAACTTAACTTAAAAAAATTAGCGAAAGTATTAACGGTTTTTCACTCCGAAGCGCAAATGCGAGCAATATCCTATCGTCGTGTTCTCGATAAGCCGATAGCTCTGTACCGGCTGCCACACAGGGTGCCTGCGGCACTGACCCACCACCCTCGAATCCTTGGAGTTTTTACTATCGAATTTTTGGTGTGTGTCCATATCCTGCAGCTCCCAGGGCGTAGGATTAAAATTAAGCCAAAAGCCACGAAAAATTAGTGTTAAACATGGCCAAATAGATTCAGAGCAGGAAAACCTACAAATAAGTGTGTTAATAGGGGTTAAAAGAGTCAAATTGAATCTTTTTGCTCTGTCCTTACCGCGAGTGTGTCACGCATTTCTTTGTGCTTTGCTTTTTTCCGGAGGCCAGACAAAGAAAGTTATGAGAGTTGTGCAACTAAATGGAAAAAAATCATACAACGAATAACAGTTTATGGGAAAAATAGATAGCTTACCGCTGCATAATGAAAGGCGTAGTTCTGGCTGCATTCCTTTCCCACCCCCCACAACGCCCTAAAGTAGGCAAAGTGGAAGTAAACACGCACACAGATGCGACCGTTGGAAAATCGATAATCCGTGCGTGTGACTGCGCGTGCAAGTGTGAGTGAGACCAATGCCGGTGTGTTCTATCGACCGACTGGCACAATAACAACAACAAGCTGTCTGGAAGGAGTACGTGTGCGTGAGAGCGAGACAGCAGTCGCGAACAGCAGGACAAGTGTAAACAAAGTTTAAAAGCACAAAAAAGAGAAACATAACAACGAAACGAAAAAGTTAATACTGAATATCATAAATCCCAATACAGCACAATCATTATTCGCAACATTATACGCGGCCAAAGGAATTACTACACGAATGCCAATCAGCTTTTTCTGAGCAAAATGCAGACGCTGCGCAAGAAAACGAGTCCTTGTAAATGTAAGTGAAGCAAATTGAATTATCCTGTTTTAATTTAATTTAAACTTTGAATGTCAAAACTAAAGTCAATTTGCTTTAGCAATGGTCAATAATAAGAGTAGTATTAAGGAATTCAATCAAAAAAGGTTTTCATGTTCAGGCATTGAAAATACATATATGTATGCTGAGAGGAAATGAACTGTAGATTAAAGTAAAGTATTATCATTTATGTTATTTTGTTTTTTTTTTTAGATCTGTATGTTCTTTACTGACTTTAATAACTTCAAAATTCGGTCCGTTAACGATTGCAAATCGATCGTTCCTGCCAACTCCAAGCCGTGTTATCGATAGGCGACTTAGACAGCATCTGCCAATCGAATAGCAGCTGCTGCGCCGGCGCAGTTGTCGGCAGGTGGTGCAGTTTCCCAAAAAAGAACAACAATTGCCAAGAGAGATCCGCGTTTTCAGTACACACATTTTCGCCATGAAAATCTCTAAATAATAGAGTGAAATCTGTGTACACCCGCGAGTGTATCAATGTGTGTGTGTTTTTTGTTTGTTATTTGAATTGAACAAACTGCGACAGTCCAGTCAAAAGAGAGTGAGAGCAGCATCGCTTTTATACGCTCTCATTCGTTTTTATTCATTCCATGATCGCGCATCGCGGATCTCGAATCGTTCTCTGCTAGAATTTAATTAAATCTATAGCGTCGCGAAAAATCGTTGTGGAACGAACATATATTGTTTGTCCTCCATTGTGTGCCACCCCTTCCCCGTTTCCACCACCCCCCACCCAATGGAAATGTCAACACAAGTACATACAAATAAAAGGCCAGGAATGCGACACTGATTTTGTTGACACTCCAGTGAATGGTTCCAGAATTCCGTTCCACGATTCCCGGGTTCCATAGTTTTTCCCCAATGAGCAGTTCCCGCTGAGCCATTGGGCAGACGAAACATGGTCAAATCCCTGGTGGCCAAGTTGTCCACAGCCTCCTCGAATCTTTCGTTGGCCAGCACTTTTGGCGGCGGCAGCAACGCGGCAGAGGAAACGAATTACGCAAAACGTTAGCAAAAACAAACTAAGCAAATACTCAAATCACAAACAAACACAGTGGTCTCTCTATTGTGCGAAAAGTTAACAAAGAAAACAAATCAGTTAACTAGCAGTGGTGTTTGTCTTCAAATTTTCACATATTTTCTGAAAATTAACAATTGATAAGACGAAGCTATAAGTGAAATAGTTCATAAAGAAGCCAAGGCTCATTAACGGATTTTTATTATCACTCAATGGAATGAAATTAACACAAAAAAAAACTATTAAAAATATAATATTGTGGTTTAACAAAAAATTTTAACGAAAGCTTTGTTGTTTGTACAAACTGAGTAAAATTCCAAACTTTTAGTACCTTTAAAAAATAAAAAACGAGTATTAAATGTTTTTAAATATTATATGTTCCAGTACAATATAAAAAGTCCAACCGAGCGTATAATTACTCAAGGGTGACTGGAAAAGTAGTCATTAAAATATTTATATGTATGTAGTTTCGCCTCATTAAAAACGTAAGACTACAAACAATCATAAAGCAAGCTAAAAACAAAAAAACGATAAAATATTTAAAACACTTATCACAGGAAACTATTTTGAAACCATTAAGCTTGAGCACAATGTTTTCTGATTTTGAAATATCCCACAAATTCCAGAGATAACAAAAGCCTTGACTTGGGTATATAAGATGAATACCATTTGAAAAGAGACTTAAGAAATTTTGCTTATTTTTGTGAACTAAAACTATTATTGTAACACACGAAATCATAAAACATTCCAAACAGGCGAGAGATCACTGTAATTGAACAACTTTTTCCCCATACAAATTCAATTGAAAGCACACCCCAATAAACACAATGATGATTCTGGCATTTCCATCTTTTCCACCGCACATTTTCCAGATCGCAATGATCCGGGACGCTTTTTCGGCGATGGCGTTCAGTTCAAGGCAAAGCTCATCGGCATTCTGGAGGTGGGCGAGGCCCGAGGCGACAGGATGTGCCAGGAGGCTCTGCAGGACCTCAAGATGGCCATCCGGGCGGCCGGGGAGCACAAGCAGCGGATAACAATCCACGTGACGATCGATGGTCTGCGGCTGAGGGATGAGAAAACAGGGGACTCCCTGTATCATCATCCGGTGCACAAGATCTCCTTCATTGCCCAGGATATGACGGATTCGCGGGCCTTTGGCTACATCTTCGGATCGCCGGACAGCGGGCATCGGTTCTTCGGCATCAAGACGGACAAGGCGGCCAGCCAGGTGGTGCTGGCCATGCGCGATCTCTTTCAGGTGGTCTTCGAGCTGAAGAAGAAGGAGATCGAGATGGCGCGCCAGCAGATCCAGGGCAAGTCCCTGCACGACCACGCCAGCCAGCTGGCCTCCCTGTCCTCGCTGAAGTCCGCTGGTTTGGGCGGCATGTCGTTGGGCCACTCGGACTTGGCCAGCGGAGGCATCTCCTCCAATCATGCTCTCACCCTGCTGGGCAGCAGTCTCAGTGCCTCGAATGGAACGAGCAGATTGGGCGTCAATCTGGATGTGGCCAAGGCATCGGGATCGGCAGCTAAAGAGGTTTTCATACAATAAATTCCATGATAGAAAACAAATACTAATTTAAAATAATTATTTTCAGGTCTCTCCCGAATCCGTGGCCGATCTGGTGGACCTGGAGCAGGAGTTAACCTCGCTGCAGCGGGGAATCAGTCAAATGGAACGGATTACGCCCAATGAACCCAATGCTTTGACATCCAGCGGTGGTGCTGGTGCTGCTGGCCATCCCTCGTTGGCCAAATCCGCCAGCGAGGATGATCCCTTCGGCGACTCGTTCATCTATGTGCCCTCCTACAGCATTCTGCCACCGCCACCGGATTCCGGACGCAACCGGCACAAGGTGCCCAACAAAACACCCGAAACGGTGGCCAGTTTGGATGCCATGCTGTCGCCGCCGCCAGGTGCAAGTACATCTCAATCGCCGGCCACCGCAGGACTCCAGGCAGCGGATAATGACGATGACAACTGGCTGCAGGAGTTGGACCAACAGAACGATGTCTTCGATACAACCAAAGTGGTGGGCAGCAGTGGATTGGGTTCGGTTTTGGCCATGGCTCCGTTGGCTTCCAGTGAATCAACGGCCACGCCCACTCAACAGCTGTCGGAGGTGGCTGCAGGATCTGGAGCTTTGGGTGATCTGGATATTGGTTTGGGTGCGTCGTCGGGAAACGAGGAACATGCCGCGGCGGTCTTGTCTTTGGGTGAGTTGAAAAGAGCATATCTTCGTCAAGTTCTCCTCATTTATAAAGTTGTCACCATCTCTTCTGTGGAATTCTGTTGCTTTGTCATCTCCATTTAAGCGATGAAAGAGCTCTCTGTGATCAATGGTCAGTGGTCAGTGGTCAGGGGAACGAGATGAGTTCCAACAATTGGGAGTAGTCGTGGGTCAAATTAATTGAACTGAATGGAAGCTTTGAAAGTAGAATTCTTTACATTAAACGTGGTTTTAAGCGAATTGTTTCCAAAAACATTATAAATATGTGAACTTATTGAATCTCAAAATGTTCAAGTTAAAATATTCGTAAAGAATTATTACTTTCTCTAAAAACAGATAGCTCTTTCTATTGCTCATTTAATATTTGTTTTATTTGCATGTTGTTTATATTTCTTGTTTTAGTTACTTTAAGTGCTCTTCCCATCTTAAAACCTTCCCCTTTTAAATAACGTTTTAAACAACTGAATAGGGTTTTTAATTGGTGGTTTACATATCTTCGGAACTCATCGAAGTTTCCAGCATGTTTTTTTTTTACTTCTGAGCTCTTTGAGTTTTGCTCCTCTTTTTGGTTTTCGATTGCGAAGCCTCCATACTTCATCTTCCAATTCTCTCTGTCGCCTTTGCTCACTCCTTCTGTTCCATTGTGCAGATGCGTTCACGGATCTGGATCCGCTGGGCACGGGACGCACCAGGCCGTATGTCGATAAGAAATACTTCTTCCAAGAGCTGAAGAATCCGCCCAAGAAGCTGCTCAAGGAGCTCAGCTCCGGCAGCCAGGCGGGTCTCGGTCTGGGTCTCTCCTTGGGTCAGCCGGATGTCCTCTTTCCGGAGGACGTCACCGCCATCTCCACCACCACCACCACCACCACAGCTACTAACATCATCGCAGGTACTAACCAACACACACAACTCGAACACCATTTCCGCACAGAGAAAAGATATCCGTTTCATTTGGAAAAGCTTTCACTTCCATATTGCCATGCAAATAATAGTTTTAGTTGTTGTTTTAAAACGAAATCAATTATTATAAAAATATAAAACCACGAAGCTAGGATACAAATTCATTGAAGGTTTTACAAAATAATAATATTATTTATAACTTGCTTATATAAATTAAAAGTACTTTAATAATTCTTTTCGAACTTAAACAGTTTAAATTTGCAAAAAGAAGATCATAATTTCGATAAAAATTTTGTTCGGTAATTAATTCATATTATTTGTTCGAGAGTTTATATTAAATTTATATATTGACAGATATTTTTTACATCAAATGGATTTTCTAATTTCTAAACAAAAATTTTAGAAGTCAAGTTTTAAGGGGATTTGCTATTTCCTCTCTGAGGAGCATAGGTGTAGTTTCTAAATTTAGGGAAAATTATCTAATTTAATTTTAAATTTAACTTAAATTAAATTTAAAAATGAAATATCAAACTGTTGAAAAGTTGTTTTCGAAGATATTTGTTCTCTGTGCACTTCGAATCCGCATTGAGTGAGCAGCTGTCTAAAGTTTGCACTTGCACCGCAGGAAATCCGCTGCAGAACTCGGCTAACACACTAACCACCACCGCTAGCACCGCCGCCAGTCTGGGCCAGCTCCTCTCCTCCGTTGCTTCCAATTCCCAATCCTATCCCAATTCCAATCCCAATCCGAATTCCATTCCCATTTCAAGTTCCAAATCCCATCCGGATGCCCTGCCAGCTCCCATTTGCATACCCACGTCCATTTCCCACTCGATCACCCCGAGCGCCGAGCTGAAACTGTTGCTCGGCCATGTCACTAATCCTCCTAATCCCACCGGCCACTATTATACCGCAGAACCACCAACGCTGACCACGCTCCCGACGCTGGAGGATCCTCGTCCGCCGGCGGATCCGGTGCTGCTGCCCAGGGACACGGATCCGTTCTCGCCGACGCGCAAGAAGAGCGATCCCGATCCCTTCCAGGAGGGCGATCTCTTCGCCAAGCTGGATGCCTTCGAGTTCGAGGCGCCGCCTTCCGTTCCGGCTCCCTCCATTCCAAGTTTGCCATCGGAATCCAAGGCGGCCGTCTTCAATGGCCCACTTCAGGTGCAATTGCCACCCGAGAAAGAGTTGCAACTGCAACAGCCACCGAGCACGGTGAGGAATCGCCCGACGGCCTCTGTTTCCGCCATGCCCAGTGGTGGACCCCTGGACGTGATCTCCAGCATTAGCAACAAGAAGATGCCGCATCTCTTTGGCCAATCGCGTTCATTTGGGAAATCCGGATCGGATATTGGTTCCAGTGTGAATATGCGACGATTGCAGGAGAGCGATTCCCTGAGTGAAACGGAGGCTGCTCCGGAGCCACCACCTCGTCCGGACTCCACTCCCTACTCCGAACCACCTCCTCTGCCGCCGAAGAAGCAGTTCAGCGACCTGGTCATCCGACCGTCGTCCTCCAATCCCACTCCTCCGCCAACAGCTGGAAGATACGAGTACTTGAACAGCAGTTCCACTGCGAGGAGAACTCTCTCATCGGTGGATGCACCACCCATTCCACTCCCTTCGCGTCGTGTGGGTCGCTCCGATGGATGTTTTCCGGGTCCGGGAAGACCGAGGAAGCCCGGTCACACCGAGGACGACTACCTGGCGCCGCTGGGAGCTCCACCACCCCTGCTGCCGCCTCCCAGCCAGGGATCCTCGGCTCGGGCGAGACCGCAGAGGCAGGCTTCACTGGGCAGACCGCAGGATATCTACGAAAACAAGGCGGAGATCCTGCAGGCTCAGGCGCAAGCGCAGCAGGAAGCCAATACCAAATCCCTGGCTCCCGACATAACCCTTACCCAACTGCTTACCCTGGGAATGGATGATCTGGCGGTGAAGCTCAACGTTCCGGCCAGCAAGCTGAGCACCATGACTTTGGTCCAGCTAACAGCCTATCTTTCGGAGTATTTGTCCAGCGAGAAGAGTTCACAGGTGAACAGGGAATCCTCGCCAGCCAATCCAGTTGCTCCAGTTGCTCCCGTTTCCACAGCGGCGGTGTTCAAGGTGAACTTCGATCAGCAGACCTCCTTTGTGGCCAAGTTCGATGACACCTTCGGTGAGGATGAGCTGGTGATGCCAGCCACCAACTCGGATTCCACCTTCGTGGCCAACTTTGCCAACTTCAATGAGGCTCCCGCTCCCATTCCCGTGGCGGGTGCATCGCCAGTGGTGCCCACTGTGCCGCCAGCGGATCGATATGCCGTCTTCCGCGAGATCATCGATCAGGAGCTCCAGCAGCAGCAGCAGGAAACGGATCTGATGGGTGATCTAACACCTCCTCCAGTGGATGAAACCCAAGTTAAGGAGATCGCCGACTCCCTGGAGGTGAACAGCGTGGGTGCCGAGTTGCCAATCGATGCGTTGGATGTGAAGCCAGCGCCCAAGATTGATACAAAGATCACCGAGGTGGTTGCTCAGGCCAAGGATCGTTATGCTGCTCTGAGGGACATCATCCTGGTGGAGAACCTCTTCGATAAGCCAACGGTTGCCGCTCCAGTGGAGAAGGAGAAGGATCTGCTGCAGGACTTCCCGGAGTTCAGCGATGAGTTCAACGAGGATCACGACCTGCGGCAGATCATGGATCATCAGGATCACCAGCAGATCCCGCATTCCCGGGATCGCCATGGTCTGGTGGACAGCCGGGGCTTCCCAACCGAACCTTCTTCCTCGGCTTTAACAGTGGGCGACGATGACGAGGACGAGGATGTGGATGCGGGTGGCGAGAGCAGCCTGGACAGCAATGAAAAGGATGCGGAACCCGTGAGCGGGCAGGATCAGTACGAGAAGCTGACCACTTCCACGCAGCAATTGGACGTGGCTGCTCCGGTTCTGGAGGATGTGCAGCAGCATCAGCAGCAACAGCAGCAATCCCTGCCGCCCAAGCAGGATCAGAAATTCCTATCCGTGCTCACGGCTCCTGGTGGCGGAACCAAAGACGACATCGAGATCGATGAGCTAATGCATCGCGCCATTTCGAATCTCTCGCTGGACTCCAGGGATCGCATTTCACCCGCCACCTCCTCGGCGGCTCCATCGCGAGGAGCTCCGGGATTGCACACTCCATCGCAGTTCAACGATGTCAGCACCTCGCCCATTCCCCTCCAGAAACCCAACCAGATGGTACCCTCGCCAGTGCCATCGCAACTTTCGGCGGTTTCCCAGCTCATCGACACGGCCACCAAGCAAATGATGGGCGACAAGGAGCGCGAGAAGCAGTCCTGGGCCACCTTCGATTCCCCCAAGGCGAAGGGCAAGGCGAGGTTAACGCTGCCGCCGCCACCGCCTCCCGCTTCCAACACCTCGCAACCGGATACGGTGGAGTCGCCCTGCAGCTCGGATCCCCGCGACGATGGCTGGTCGAAGCAGCAGCGACGCTGGGCGAAGAAGGAGCGCCAGCAGACCTCCTCCTCCTCCCGAGATCTCAGTCCCTGGGACGATGAGACGCCCGAGTATCTGAAGCGTCGCCAGCTGGCTGCCGCCCAAATGGCACATCCTCACCAGCCGCAGATGCCGTCGCAGCCGCAGCACACGGATCGCCATGGCTACTACATGCGACACGCAAGGCGGATGAACTCCTGCGACGAGGATTACGAGTAAGTGGGGTTACGATTCGGGAATAAGAAGGTTTTAATATAATAATAATATAATCATTATAGTGTATAATAATAATATTATTTTTATATAGTATAATAATAATTTAATAGTTTCAATTGATTTCATATTCCAAAATAATGGAAATTCATAGAAAATGGTTTTGAATTAGAGGCCTAATTTAAATTATTCCTAATTTAAGATATTTTAAAGGAATTAAAGCTAGATTCCTTTTATACCCATAACACCTTAAGACAATGTATTTCAGTATAGCTTTATCATTATTTTTAAAACATTACTTCAAATTTCAAACAGTTTACTTTTCAAATATTTTAGTAAAAAATATTATTATATATTATTCTATTATATTACTTACATAATATCTTCCTCTTTTTAGTTACGATGCGGAGTTCATGGCTCGTAGAGATCAGCAGCAACAGCAGCAGCGGAAGTTCAAGCACGGTCTCTCCCGCAGCAGGGATAACTTTGATCTGGGTGAGTACTATATAATTCTAATTTGCACCCAACATATCTCTAAAGTTATTTCTTTTATTCCTAATCCTTTAGAATCCCCCAGCTGGTACCATCACCCAGCGCATCACACTTGGTCGCCGCAGGAGATTGAACAAGCGAGGGCTCGATCCTTTGAGCGCGCTGCCTACGAGCGATCCAGCTATGGACCACCACCGCCCATCTACGACAAACGTGGCCAGCTGAGGAGCAAGTACCGCGGGGATCACAGGGACAGGGACCGAGAGCGAGATCGCGACCGGGAGTACCGGGACTACGCGCGTCCCAGCTACGATTTCGATTACGAGAATGTGTACGAGGAGCGCGGCGGACGTTCGCCGATGGCCTACAAGCCGGGCAGAGGTGGCGGCGATTACCTGTACGACAGGGAGAGGGACAGAGATCGGGAACGCGAACGCAAGTCCTTCGATCGGGAGAGTCTCGAGTCCTACGAAAGTGCCACCAGGCGTCGTCGCAGTTTCGGCAGTGGAAACGATGTCTACGGCAGCTTGGATAGCCGTGATGATTACCGCGGCGAAAGGGAAAGGGATCGGGAGAGGGATCGGGAGCAGATAAAGACCCGATCTTTAAGAAAACCCACAACCACGTCGGGCAAACTGAGGATCAGCGGTGACATCGACTACGAACAGGATTCGGAGCAGGACTTCCAGCAGCGATCGGGTGTGAGGAGTCTACAGCGACCCAGTCAACTGGGTGGGGATGTGGTGCTGCCCTCCAGTGCGGTGGTGGGTCCACAGCGATTGCGCAAGAGCAGCGGCTCCAGTCCTTGGGATGGCGAAGGTTTTAGATGAGATTTTATATAAGTTTTATAAATGTTAAACAATTGTATGTGCTTTGCAGAACCCGCTTTGCCTGGCCAGAAATCCTGGAAGCGTCCAGGCAGCGCTGCTGAAACCGAAAGACGTTTGGCGGAGAGTCGAAGGGCAGCTGCCTTGGGTCAAACTCCATCGGATGGTGAAAAAGAGAGAAGGTTAGTGGGAATAAAATATCCATAAATGAATACATATATAAATAATCAATTCCTTTTGCAGATTCCGCAAGAAGACCCGCGCCCGCAGTGCCAAGGATTTAGCCACAGTTGGTGCTCCTAGCGCTGGCACCTCCGCCCCCTCGAGATCCGGCTATGGGCGTGGCATCCGGGACAACTACGACTATATGTGCCCGGGTCAGCGCAACGATGACGACGACGATGATGACGAGGACTATGTGGACGATGAGCCGCCAACGGATGAGGATAAGTTCGAGAGGTTGAACCGCCGGCGACACGAGATGCACCAGCGGATGTTGGAGTCGGAGCGCCGGCAAATGGAGCGCCATCAGCCACCGTCGCTGGCGAAGCTTCCCGGCCAGAATCGCAGCCGCGGCGTGGTGGTGAATAGTGACTATGGGTTTGTGGACAGCTACGAGCAAACGCCAACGCCCACGCCACGTTCGAATGCGAGTAGCACTGGACCCGGTGGCCTGATGATGAGCGGCGGGGAATCCTCCGCCGGCGTGACCAGTTCCAAGTTCAATTTCGACGATGGCTTCGAGTCGGACTTCAATCAGAGTTCACCGCCGCCGGCGCCAGCCGGCACCGCCTCCAGTTGCAATTCCACGCCGGCGGGTCCAGTTTCGGCCAGTGCAAACAATGGAGGATCGAAGAGCCTGTTCCGCTTCTCCAACGATTTCTCGGATCGCGAGAAGCGGGAGCAGTTCGAGATGGAAACGCCGCCGACATCAACGCCGCCAATTACGCAGAAGCTGCGATTCGATGACAATGTGAAGGTGTCGCAGTTCGATGACGCTGCCTTCGAAGATGACTTCGCCAAGGCTTCCTTTGACTTCGAGAAGGAACAGGGAAATGTTCCGGGAGCTGCAGGAGCCGCAGCAGCTGGAGGATCGGGTGCCATGAGCCGAAAGCAGAACATGCGAACCAGCAAGCTGCAGCAGCGCCAAGAGCTCATCAAGAAGTCCGAATCGGTGAATATATTTGCCAAGAAGCAGGAGGATCCCTTCGAGGACGACGAGTTCTTCAAGTCGCCGGACCAGGAGCACGCGAATCAGGAGCAGCACAACGAGGATGCGGACGGGGGCAAGTTCCAGTGGAACGAGGACGCGAACTTTGCCAAGTTCGATGAAAACATGTGATTTGACCAACTCTTTGCCAAGGCATCGGGACAGCGACCGGCGGAGTCGGAGTCGGCGTCGGCGGAGAACGGCGGAGATGGCCACAACTATGCGGAGATCGATGTGGTCAACGACACGGAACTGTGCTTCCTCACCAATCTCAACCAGTACTACCAGCAGCAGCGATTGCAGAGCCTGCGACAGAGTTTAAATGGTCCTGTGTACTGCAATCTGCCAGTGCAGCAGAATCAGGAGCCCGCAGTTGGTTCACAGCCGTTGACCAAATCCATCTCCACGTCCACGAGTCCCTGGCACGAACCGAAGGCCAAGTCGAAGCCACTGCAGCAGCTGCTGCGAAAGCCGAAGAAGTGGAAACTCAAGCGCACCCTGGACGACTTTCTCAAGTGTCTAATCATCGCCTCCTCGGAGCATGTGTACGATTACGATGTGCTGTGGTAGGATCCGGAGGATTGGGAGGAAGGGGAGCAGTCCAGGGATCAGTCTCGAAGAGAGCAGTAGAGAGAATCCGTACGATATATAATTCGCCACATATATCTAGTCAACTCAATCGCCATAGTAATCTTGTAGTATCGTAAAACTCTCGGAAGAACTGTAAAGGATGTTTTCACTCACAGCTCTGCCCAATCCCAGAATGAGATTGTATATATAGTTATATCCACCAATGGAGATTCCAACCAAGCCATAGAGAAAAGCGTTTGTTAAAGCTAAAACTCCCCAGTCGAAATACTCACACCCCGAATCATCAGTCGATCTGCCGATCGATCCAACTAACGAAAGCAACTAATCAATTGCCTATGCTAGATGTCGTCTAACCCATTTACGATTTATCCAAAATCCAAATTGCAACCATTGTGCTAGCATACAGTACTACATACTATATATATTCCTAGGATACGATTACGTTTATGCCTGCAGCAAGCATCATTTTTATGATCGATTGATTACACATAGTTAACTAACTAACTAGTTTAATTCCACGGCAATGTCGCCTCAAGGTGTTTTATGATTTAACTACTTATATATACATAAATATATACTATATATATTTATACGTAACTGAACGAGCAACTGAAACTGAACGATCAAGTAACTCCCAAGCAGCTAAAAAATAATATACGATAATTATACACACAAAAAATATTCTTATATTATATGTAATGCAATTATACGAATACGAATACGATAGTTATTGTCAAAAGTCCCTCGGTGTGAGAAATCTTTCAATTGGTTTTTGTCCCATCATTTTGTTCTATCAATTAAACTGTGAGAAGCATAATGATTGAGTGGTTTTATTTAATTAAATACTATATATATTACAAATACAGAAAAGTTATAGTTTCGAAATAATAATGTGCAAGTAACTATTGGTTACCTTAATGTGGGTTTCAAAACATATATCGCCATATCGGATCATATGCAAATTACTTGCTGCTTTGCCAGCACCTATCATTTAGGCCACTTTTGGCACCAAGTTTGTGACGATTTGGTGCGGCTTTAAGCCAGACCAACTGTAGCCTCCTCCTCCTCCCAAAAAACTATAAAACCAAAGAGTCAATCCAAGAAAATGCATATTCAGTTTTTGGACTCTGCAAGAGCAGCAATCTCCCTGAAATGCAGCAAATGGTGAGCAGAATCTTAAGGATCTTAAGTTCGAATTTGTAAATATCCTTCTTTTATTTTTGTAGTTGATTATTGTTTCCCTGGGTTTGTTGGCCAGTGTGGCAGGCAAACCTGCTGTGGATCCAGCTATAATTCCATCGGGATCTCCTTTTGGCTTCTATTCAGGATCTGTTGCTCCTTTTGCTGCCTACTCTGCAGCTCCCTTTGCTGTTAATCCTTTGGCTGCTCCTTTGGGTGCTTCTCCTTTGGCTGTTTCTAGCAGCCAGCGGTTGGATTACTTTAACCAATTTAATGCCGCCTTTGGCCCAACTACTCCTGCTCGTTTTCTGGATGCTAACCCATTTTCTGGAGCTGGAGCTCGTCTCATTCAGCCAACTCGTTTTGTTGCTCCTGGAGTGCCAGCACCATTTTTCCTTTAGAAAATCTTAAAAGCTGATATTTGAAAAATATTTTATATATAAATAAAAGTACAAGATGGTTAACCATATAAACTTTTTATAACTTAAGTTTCAAGTTTAATTATTTCATATTTGCATTTGTATTTATACAATTTACTAGTAAACCCAGCGAACTCCGTTCCGCCACCAGATGGCGATAGTTTTAGGTAAAACTTCGTTTGGTGTTTAAAAGATAAAGAAAATTTTTTTTTGTTTTATATATGAAAAGGAAAAATTTTATTTCGATACCATTAAAACTTTGGCCATTTCCGAGTGTTTTGCAATATTACACGTTGGTTCCTCAATAATTTGAAGATTTAACGGTAATTTTAATGCTGAATGAGCCGTTTGGCATCTTTCTAACAATATGGCTGCTATTCCCGAAGAAGCAACTGCAACAGCTATGTTGGATCTCGCCCGAACAGTTGCTAAAGCTAATGACATGAGGAATGTCTTGTCAGTACCACCAGGGGCATCTAGGAAATATAAACCACCATTTTCTTCATCGATTGCCTTCATTAAAGTATCATAAACTTTCTTCTGTTGGGAATTCAACAGGGGTACATTCGTTTGAACTAATAAATTTAATTCCTGGTGATCATATTCACGTTCCCGTTCTAATTCTCGATTAAATGCCTCATTCATTTCACGATTTGGCGCTGGCATTCTAACCTGATTAATATATTACCGCACATGAGGTAACACTTATCTTCGATCAAGAGTAAAACCCGATAATGTATCTCCTCATTCATCAAATTGTTCACAATCAGGATGGCGACTTCGTCTATTGTTGGAGCATTAAATGTCCTTTTGTGTGTTCCAGATGGTCGTTTATCTGCTTTTATGACAACTTTATAGTCATCATTTGGCATGCGCTCTAAAGCACTCTTAAACAACCTGATGTTCATGAAGCAGACACTGCAAGTCTTGAAGAATTGCTCGTTTCATCCCTTCATTGATCGCATTCTTCCATGTTGCCCATGAAATACGTGTATATTTTTAAATTTTTTTTGTGTATCTTCGAAAGGAAGTAATGATCCAATTCGATGGTGAATCTGCCCTTGTATCTAAGATAAAGTAAGTTATTCTTTAACTAAATTCTATGTAATACCAAAAAAAACCTTAAAAGTCGGATTAAATCCTCGTTCTTCGATAATATCTGCCCCAAATGACGTCATTTGGAAACAACCATTGTATTTTCGGGTATTTGCAAGAAAGTGGCGTGATTCTTGTGTTTCACCACAAAGCAACGAATACAATGGCTCAGGTGGCGGAGTCAACAATGGCAATTTAACTTTACCATTAAAGCAGCATAATCCAGGCGTTTCTCCGGAAAACTTCAGTGCACCGCAATACTCGCAAACAACGTCCATTTGCCCAATGCAAACGCTAGGATGCAAGCTGTAATCAGTGATGCAATCGTATTGAAACGCTGCTCGATTCAAATCAGCACTTGATAAATTTCTTCTGCGTCGCAAATGATCTATTTCTTGACCTCTGTTGTAAGCTCGACGATTCTGCATTGTCAACCGAGCCGTATTACGGATTGCCTCTCTTTGCTCTGCTGATTGAGAAGCACGACGTCGACCTATTCTAACGCGGTTCTGTTCACGTTCATTGTTTTGTTCTTCTTCAGACCTTCCATTTGCAGTATTTTGTAGTCTTCTTGCATTACGGCTTTGTCGGGAAAGATTCGATCGTCTTGGTCGCGGCATTATTAATTAAACTTCCCTTCACTTCAATTCACAAAAAGCACGAAAAACTTCACTTCACTTCAATTCACCAAAATCACAAATAATTTCTACTCACTTTAAAAAAATTGAGTTAAAATGCTATGGTAGTGTGTGCTTGTCAGTTTGATGAGGTAATAACTCAGTTTATATGCGATTTTTGGTATGTCGAACGGAATAAAAAGTACCCTAACTCCTATTCCGGGCTCTAAGCTACCTTCCTACCAATTTTCAGCCAAATCTGTTCAGCCGTTCTTAAGTTATAAGTGGTGGAACTAACACAACTTGCTTTTATATATATAGATTATTTTCATTAATTGAAAAACAATCCAAAAATTCGATTAAAATATTTTATATATTTCCATAGGCATATACAAATCAATTCATTTTGTATCGATTATTATCACAAATGATTAAGGGTGGGGTGTAATTATAATTCCCTATTTTGAATACCTGTTTCACCAGATACCCTTGTAGCCATACCCATAGTTATAGGCTGGATAATAGTAGGGATAGGTGTACTGATAGGTCGTTGCATAGGGATAATTATAGGCAGGATAGCCACCGCTGTACTTGAAATAGGTATTCGGATAGGTGGCCACTGTGGTTGGTGGCACATAAACTCGATTCCAGTTCCGGGTGACAAACTGATGACTGGTGGCCACGGGAACCACTCTGGGAATGGTAGCCGGAACCGCAGCTGGATACGCCGGAATCACTCCAGTTGTGGCAGTTGCTACGCTGGCATGGGACAGAACCAGTCCCAGAAGTAAGTAGCCCAAAAAAGTCGCTAGAACCTGGATTATTATAAACAGAGAATGCTAAGTAAAAAATCTTTCAAAAAAATGGATTTAAATATCAAGTCTATTATAGCTTCTATATTTCATTTTCTGTGAACATTTTATTTTCATTCTTAAATTTTTGAATTTTTTTTAACATTTAATTTCCAATAACTGTTCAAAAATATTTTGTAACACAAATATCATAACTAATAATATCATTAGGCCTCTGAATATTAAACTCGTATAAAATGCACCTAATTTAGTGATCCTTAAGGATACTCACGATCTTCATTTTGTGGTTTCAACCTGGATTATCTGTCTGGGCCACTCGATTACTGGTCACTGTCCACTCGAAGTTCAACCAAGTGGCTTTTATAGCTGCCCCCGGATTGGATTTGACTTTCAAATGCAGTTGCCCGTTTACGGATGACCAGCCATTTTTGGGCCACCGGCTCGTCCAAGGGCAGATGCGCATTCCCAAAGAAGAGAAGCCAACAAAGCTTGGATAGTTTCTTATATATATAAATAATATTACAATACCTTTATAGGGATGACGCAAGCGGAATTTGCAACCAGACAAAGGCTTCTTGCCATTTAATTATGCTGCAATTCATTGATCGAACCCATTGATCAAAACATCTGGGTAAATAACTCGATTCTTGTTCTGAAATTTCGGTTGGCTATATAAACAGATCTGTAGCTTCTGCTAAACATACAGTCCAGAGGTGAAGATGAAGCTCCAATTGGCACTCGTTTTATTTGGTTTGACTTTGGCCTTGGGCCAGATTGTTCCCAGAAGTTCTTGGTGTCCTGTGCCACTCAATTCTAGATTACCAAGGCTCGTGGTGCCCGTTCGACTCATTGTCATTCATCACACAGCCACGGCTCCCTGTTCCAATCCCTATCAATGCCAGTTGGCAATTAGACAGATCCGAAATGATCATCTTCGCAGGAAGTTCAGGGATATAGGATACAATTTCCTGATCGGAGGAGATGGTCGCATCTACGAAGGTTTAGGTTTTGGCATTCGGGGTGAACATGCTCCAAATTACAACAGCAAATCCATTGGCATTGCATTTATTGGCAATTTCCAGGGTGAGTAATTGATCGCTTGTTTCTATTGGATCTTAAGGTAATCCTTTTTAATGTTTATCCTTTTCAGCTGGGTTACCTCCTCCCCAGATGCTTCAAGCTGCCCGAACACTCATCCAAATTGCTGTGCAGCGTCGTCAGGTTTTGCCAAATTATGCTTTAGTTGGACATTGCCAAACGAAAGCTACTGCCTGTCCAGGAAGACATCTTCTGAATGAGCTCAGAAAATGGCCACAATGGAAACCGAAGCCTTAAGGTTCAAAAAGAATCCTTTAACTTTTAAACCAACTAAAAAATTGGAAATTTAATTACTTTCTTTCCGCCCAAAAATATTGAGTTTTTGATAACTCTTTACATCTTTTTTCTCTACCCCTTTATCTAGCAAAATGTATATAAATTTGTAACTCTTTTATAAAGAAAAAAATAAAATAATATATAAACAAGAAAGTAAGTTTACATACCCTTGAAGTCATTACAAATGTCAAGCAAAATGCATAAAGGCTAAGCAACATTTAAGTTATGACAATAATTTTTTATGTGAGGTAATTCGATATATTCTAACATAATAATAAACTTCAAAAAGTTCTACTTAAGATCTAACTTGAATTAATTTTGCCTCCAGTGGGGCCATGTCTTGATCTCGTTGTAGAGGGCATCACCTGGACAGGTGGTGGCCTTCGTCTGGCGGTGTCCGAACAGCGTGTAGTTATCCTTGAGGTGTCCTCGCTGCTTGGCCAACTCGATCAGATCCTTTGCATTCTGCAGCATTTGGGCAGAGGGTTTATTCTGCTGGAAATTGCCAATGAAGACGATGCCAATGCTCTTGCGATTGTAGTTGGGGGCATGGGAGCCCTGGAGTCCAAAGCCACGACCCTCGTACACCTTTCCATCTCCGGCCACAATGAAGTTATAGCCAATATCGCTGAAATTCCTGCGACCCTTGTGATCCGACTGGATGCTCTTGATCATCCGTTTGCACTGCTCGGATGTGGAGCACCCGTTGGGATTGTCGGAGTGATGGATGATCACATAGTCCACGGCTCCGGAAATCCTCGAAGGCGAACGAGCAGCCGCTGCTCCCCAACTGCTGCGGGGTTCAATTGTTAACGCATCGGCGGAGAGAGCTGATCGGAAGAGAGATCATGATTAGCTAATCGAACTTAGGGGTAGGCACAATGTGATTGATTACCTAGGGAGCAGAGCGCCAGAGCAGCCACAAACTTGATTGCCGTTGATGTGTTCATCGTTTTGGGGTTTGAGATTCTATGAAATTCTCTGGCTTTCGGCGGCTGTTTAAATAGGAAAGGTAGATGACAAAGAAACCCGAAGTCGTTAATACCCATTAAAGAAAATGTTACAAGAACAATTTAACCTAAATTTATTATTGGGAAAAAATAATATAAAATAGTCTTTTTAAAATGTAATTGAAAATTAACGGTTTATAATTTTACTATATTTTTATATTACAATTTTTGTGGAAAAGAAACAGAACGATACATAATTTATATGCTAAACTGTTGTTCGATTGATAGAACAAATTTAGGGCTAATACAGATTTAGCACCGAGAAATGATAGAAATATGTTTCATGTCATAATGTAAGGCGGTAAAATTTATATAAGATCATAAAACGTTTTAGGTCTCAAGTAATGTGTCATATTCCCCACTAATAAAAGCATCTTCTTATAGGGTAAACAAGCACCGCTTGCGGTGAAGAACCCGCTGGGGAATCACTTGTGCCCCAGAGATAAGAAACTGCTCCCGGAGACCCCGTAACAACGCTCACGCTATACAAAAAGAACATTTAAATTGTCATTTATATTATTATATTAAAATAAACTAAAACAAACAATATATTCCAGATGGTCTTTCCAAGTTTTAGTTTTCGATGGCCTTTCGCTTTTTGGCGATGCGTTGTTTTTTGGTTTCCCTCGGCTTGGCTTTTGATTTGTCTGCATTGGGTTTGCTCTCCTTCTTGGGTTGCTCTATTTTACCAGAGGCTGCCTTGAGCTGCAGCTTCTCCATTAACGTAAGTGGACGATCGGCACCATCTTCCTCGTGTCTCTTGTGGACCAAAGCCTGCTGGGCCACACGTTTCTTGTGCACCGCCTTCTTAACCTTTTCACCCTCCTGTCGGCTGCGCAGATTGCTCAAAGCCTGTTTGTACTTATCCGCATGCTGCACCTCAATGTCTGGGGAAACGTGGATCTCTTCGCCCAAGCCCTTGCCCACATCGTGGAGCACCTTCTTGAATGCTGCCTGATCTTGTTCAGTTAGCAGCGTAACTGCAGTTCCCTTTCTTCCAGCTCGAGCCGTTCGACCCACTCGATGGATGTGGGTTTTAATGTGGCGTGGTGCCTCGTAGGACAGCACCACATCCACATCCGCCACATCGATACCTCGCGCCAGGGCATCTGAGCAGATCAGTCCATTTACACGCCCAGCAGCGAAGTCTTTGAGGGTTTTGCTTCGAACCAGAGCTGAAAGATTGCCCGACAGCTCGGCCACTCTGGTTTGTGTCCCTCTGAAGAGCTTCTGCATCACGAATGCCAGGCGACTGGCTTGATCCGTACTGTTGGTGAAGCATAGGAACCGCTTCCATTTGTTCTCCTCCACCAGAGCGAACAGAGTCAGCGGTTTCAGCCGCAGCTCCGTAACACAGAATTGTTCTGTCAACTCAGCCGGTGTTGTGTATTTGCCCACAAATTGCCCGCGATCTGGATTCGATTCGGGATCAGCGTCTTCATCCGCCGCATCCTTGATCACGGGCAGGGTAAACACAGTGGTAAACAGGCGTGGCTGAAAGAGTCGCAGGTTCTGCAGCTTTTCCGGATCCTGTGACAGAGTGGCCGAGAACAGGAGCTTATGTGGCTGCTTGCCAAAACTGGACTTGAGCTCCGCATAGCAAAGAGGAGCTTGTGTGCCCGCCAGCAATTGGTCTGTAGTTTCCTTGACATGGCTGTCCAGGTGATAAAGCCAGTTTTGGAAAACGGCGTCCATTATCCGATCTGCCTCGTCGATAATCAGGAACTTGAGGTTCTTCAGACAAAAGCCTTTGGTGGCATGCAGATGGTCCACCAATCGACCTAAAATAATTAGAAAATTTGTAATGTGGTTGGTAAGTTGATCAATTTTTTTAACTCACCTGGCGTGGTCACAACAATGTCCACCTTCGAGTAGTATTTGCCCTTGTACAGCTCCACCAACTTCTCCTGTTCGTCTTCCAGCTTGTGCTGCTTGGACAGCAGACAAACCTCAAGATCTGTTTTAGCGCACAGCGAACTGATGACCCGGAAGACCTGCAGAGCCAACTCTGCCACTGGTAGCACCACCAAAGCCCGAACCTTGCACTCGACACGTTGCGATAGCAACTGAACAATTGGAATTGCAAAAGCCAACGTTTTTCCGCTGCCCGTGGGAGCAGAAACACAGATGTCCCGTGGTCGAAAGGGTGCCGGTTTGGCATGTGCCTCCAGAATCCAGGGAATCACCTGCCGTTGGACAGGAAACAGGCGCTTGATCTTCATCTGCTTGAGGGCCAAACAAGTCGATTTGTCCAAGTAGTCCAGCTGATCAATGGCCTCCGAAGCGGGTACCTCCTCATCGGGCAGAAGGCTCCCACCTTCGATGATCGTGGGATGGCCCAACCAACTGGGCAGCTGCATCTCAACCTTTCTCTTCTTGGCCGCCGATCCATCGCCACCGAGGACTTGAAACTCATTGGAGGGCACATCCTGCTCCTCAACTACTTCCTTGTGTTCTTCCAGTTGCTCCACCTGCTCCTCCTCCTTGGAAACCTTTTCCTCTTCATCTGGAATTTCTTTTTCTGGAGCAGGTGTTTCTATAGCTTCACTTTCCTTGGACTTCCTCTTGCGTTTTGCTGCTTTTTGAAGCAATTTCTGCAGGATTTCATCCTCGTTGCTGGCGGTTTCTTTGATTCCATCTTTTGATTTCTTGAAACTCTCTGTATATCTACGAAAAAAACGTTATCTTAAGTGTATGATGTATAGGCCACTTAACTTACCTATTTACAGTAAATAATTCCATTATTAAAGATGTTTTTATTGAATAAAACGAAAACCAAGTGGGCACACGTGTTGCCGACAATTTGTTTACGTTTTTACAATTAGTATGACCAGTTCTGTTGTTTTTGAATAAGGCCGCAGATACAATGTTGCCATATCGTTTTAAAAAAAGGCGCGAAAGATTTAAATACATTTTACATTTAAGCCATTTATAAAAAACATTACTTTTTAGAAATTTGTTAGGTATAAACTTTGGCTGGAAATAAGAAATAGAGTATCAGTGAAAACATGTTAAAATAAATCGTATAATTTAATATATATATTATGTTTTCTTACTTAATCTTACTTTCTTACTTGCTTACTAAATCATACTTATCTAAATCCCAATTAAATTATCAAGTAAATTGCAATTAACATTAAAAAACAATTTTCTGGTAAAGATAAAGCCACAATTTTCATTGGAAAATTTTGTTTAGCTATTGGCTATCCATATTCATAACTTCTCCCCTGTGGTCCCTACTTTAAATTATTCACAGTATTTTATTCCAGTTATACGGAATATTTGATTTAATTCCCACAACCGCAAACAGAATAATTGACAACGGAAAGGAAAACAATATTGGTTCATAATCCAGTTTTCAAGGGGATTCGTAGTTTCCCTTTAGATCGGCTTACGAAATGCGTTGATGCGTATTCAAAGTGCCTCCAACATCACGGGTTTCTTTGGGGATTTTTATGCCAGAGTATGATTCATAAATGACCCGAAGCGAAGCGACAGATGCAAAAATCAGCATCAGATATAATAAAGGCTTATAGCCATACTCCAAACCGGTTAAAAGGTTTTTTACATGCTCCACTATAAAGAGAATCGTAGAAAGAACTCAAACTTGACGTCTGAAAATGGGTAATAAAATGACAGATTTTACAAGCTATTTGCGAACTGATTAGTAACATTTAGACCGCATTTTATTGTTACCATAGCAGACAGTAATACCTTAAAATCGCATTGACATTTCCGTCCGCAAATTTATAATCTTAAATGGCTCCATTAATCATGGTACGTACATTTAAATTCGATGCAGTTCAGTGGCAGTTGAACACCTGTGACCGATGGTGACACGCCCACATCGTGCGTCAGTACTTACATATACGATTCAGAACTCTATATATAGCAATACTTTTCGGAAATCAAACCGCTTCCTTTAAAAACCAACATTTTTGAAAGACTCATTATACGATTCATTTCATTAATAACTACAATAATTAGGAATTTGTAATGTATCATCCTATTAATCAGCAGTCATACAAACTTTTCTCACGTAGTAAAATATACGCCCTCATCACGAAAAGGGAGCATATATTATTTAAGCCCAGTGATTGTTTAAGCTATTAGCTTATTTAAATATTCTTTTCTATTCAGAAGATTCGTTTGAAGACCTCATAAGTAAGATCTTGGGAAAATCACATCATAACAAATATGAGTTAAAGAGAAGACGATCTGTTCTTTTTATTTCTGATTCACCCGATTTTAATTCCAAGCATCAAAATTAGTAAAACTTGATAAACTGTAATATTAAAATAAATGCTAAGTGAAGAAGAAGCTAAATCAAAACTGAACGTTAATATTTGTTTTATTTCCTTGACTGACTTTCAAAACTTTCGGCTCGCATCAGCACCAGGTTGTTTCATTTAGCACATAAGTCGGCTTAAAATATCAAAACTGGATATAAGGTTATTAAGCGAGTTTGCGGATACGAAAGCTGTCCATATAATGGCTATTGTAAGGCAAAAGAGTCATTGTTCGGTTCTTTTGGGCGATTCCAATGCCAGAACGTGTTTCTTTGGCCAAAGTTCGGTTCCGTTTTTCAGTTTCCAACTCCCCGGACAAAGTATGACGTTAAATCTGTAATTGACAGCGTAACCAAAATTCGATCTTATCTCGCTGTTCCATTAGCCTTTATCATTGAATTTCTCCAACAGATTTTTGACTCTCTCCGGCGAGCAATTCTCTTCGCCTTATCATTCTTCCGGAGAAAACTCGTAGTTGTTTTTACCAGCACTTGTTTAAACATTGTTTTCGTTTTCCAGTAACCAAAAAATTAATTAAAAACTTTGGAAAAGTAAATAAAGGGAACTACGTAGTTCTATAATTAGTACCTATTGGGTTTATATTATAAAACTGGATAAACTTGCATTTTATGTAAGTAACTAATTTCATATTTATTAAGAAATACACTTAAATCGATTTTAATTAGATCATTTTGGATTATTAAAGATTTTAAACTTGTCTCTTGTGCAAATTTTACTGTTCTTTTATACTTGCACCGTTAAATGTTATTAACGGTATTTACCATGGTAAGGTATAAAGCGATCGATGAACTTAAGTAATTAATTTTTGAATACCGATGGCTGTTTAATGATGCTCATTTATATTCCAACTTTATGAGAAAAACGTGCAAATAAATGGATGTTTTATGACCTATTTTTGATAAAACATCAAATTGGCTACAGAACCCTAGTTATATGCATGTTTAATAGGTTTTAGGTAATTCTAAAATACTTAATGTGATAAACGTGTATCTTAAACCAATGAAAAATTAAAAAAAAAAAAGCTTAAGCTCCAGCTTAAGATAATAAAACCTATAGCACTGCTATAATCGTGCTATTGTGGCTATTGTACAGCTCGGTTGGAATATTTATTATAGTATAATTTATGCTAAGACGGCGGCCGATAGAGAAAAATTTAAATAATATTCGCAGGCTTTTTATTAATAATAACTCTCCCTTTGATTTGGGTGAGATTTCTCTTATGTTTGCCGGGAAGAAGAATATTCAGAACTTTTTCCATTCCACCTTTCCCCAATCACACTTAACCGGTAAATACAGAATCTGGAAGCAAACAAAACAAAACCCGAGATAAAAACAAAAAAGATAATAATATCATCGACACCTGTCGGTGATCTCCGCTTCGAAAAGGCGAGAAAGAGAGGGAGTGAGAACTCGTCTATGACTCGAGCACCGCCGATCGCCTTATAACGGTAGGACATAAAAGCGCCGAGTTCATTTGCAAGCGTTTCGCAGTCGGGTTAGCACGCTCGGGAATCGAAAAAGCTGCTCGCCAAAAATCAAATAAAGCAAGTCGCGAAAAGTTAAAAGTAACAATCGAAAAAGTTTAAGGCAAAAACATTCCGCTTTTTTGCACAAAAGTTTCGTTTGATATCAATTAGTTTCGCGTTTAAGGATATTAAGGATATACACCAAAAATAAAAAATGTTGAAATTTATACTACCCGCATTTGTTCTGATTGCATCGTAAGTGTCAATTATAGGAGTACAATTACATACTGTGGAAATTTCAAAGGTCAAAAAAAGGATTCAGAAACCAAGGGAAAATCAATAGTTTGATTTTATAAAAGAATTTAACACATATACGTTTTAAAATCGACTTAAAATACAAATGAGCAGCTTATGTATATATATGTGTACATCTAATTAAATTTGGATGTATATAAAATTGTGTATATTTCCAGTCATGTTTTAAAAATGAATATTTAATTCCCTCAAATGAACTGGATTTAAATGAGAGCAAAAAATATATAAGTTTAAGACAAGTTTATCGCCTTAAAATATTCCCAGTTAATATTTTTCTTAGTCTCTCTTTTAGTTTAAAATTATTTTTAGCTTTGTTTAATAAGAATTCTTTTGTTTTACCTTTGTGCAAAAGAAATCACAGAGGAATACATACTAATGACAAAGACCAGATAAGAAATTTGTTTATGATTACCTTGGCATACCTGCAAAAAGTTAATTTAGCTTAAAGAAAGCTCGAAATGTATTTGTTTAATCTGGTTCGACCTTGACCAGCAAATCAACAATTGAGTTAAATGACTGATACCAAGATCATAAAATTGCACAAAAGATTTAAAAGTAAATAAAAATTGTCGTAACATTCGTCAATTTCGAATGTCACATGATTAACAGCAGACTTGGGTGAATAACCAGAGAGCGGCGGGTTTATTAAAGAAGATTTAGCAACATTTTGCGATTAACACATTACCATATTTTATTTTTTACAGATGCCTTGGCAGTCCGGTGAGCCAAAATCGTCGATTCCCCAACGACTTTCGCTGGGGCGTCGCCTCATCATCTTATCAAATCGAGGGGGGCTGGAATGCGGATGATAAGGGGGAGTCCATTTGGGACTTTCTCACCCACAATCATCCCGAGAAAATAGTGGACCGATCAAATGGTGATATTTCCTCGGACAGCTATCATCAGGTGAGTTGCGTCGAGTCATTCGGCAAATCAATAATGGTAGCTATTCAGAATCAGAATCAGCCACAATCTGATTGGAAGTTATGCAAAGAGTTCAAGATCTCCAGCCAAATGACTTGTTGAGGTAATCGACTGGAAAATATGTAAGCAACTCGCGATTGATGCACTCCGATGGCTATTAGTTACACAGCTAATTACGTGATATTATCTAGAGCTTTTGACGCTAATCATATGAGATGGATTTAAAGAGATGGACTTAAGAGTCTGAAGAGATCAGTAGATCAGTTCTTTAATTATTTTAAATAATTACGAGATTTGCAGACATAGAAGCTTAAGTTCAAGATACATTTTAAAAGTTTTTCCTAGCGATCTAATAATATTAATATCACATATGTTAATTTTTTTTTTAATAGCTTTATTATTATTTTATTTAAAATTAAAAGCTGAACTCATCGATTGCTCTTTAGTTGATTGTTTAAACAGAATTGCCAGTAAAATTGTCTTGCGAAGCTCTAAAGTTATGTCTTTATTTAGTCTTACCTATTAAAATGTAAATACCTAACGATTTTTCAAAGATTTCTAGCTTCAACAAACAGCTACTGAAAACAAAAATATAATACTGTTCTCGAGCGCCCCCAATTAATTGAAAGCCAAGTTTCTTTGGGCAATTATGTTTTAGTAACATGACTCCGAGCAATAACCATAACTCATGTGCCCATTTCAATAGGCCATAAAATCATCCTCAAGTGTGGACAAGCGATTCAACTGAGACAAGTTTGCATCCCATTACAGGCCATAAACAATTTGCATAGTTTCATAGTTCTGACCACAAAAACCATTAACCAAGAATCGCATAAATCATAAGCCGCATGGGGACACCTGTTTCGAATGTCTCGAACTTCGCTTGATTAACCACTCCGTTCTGATAATCAACTTGTTTCCATCTGGGCTTTTCAGCGCCTTGCATTTGCACCATTTGTCCAGCAAATTGATTAATGACTCTCGATCAGCGCTGAATTAATGATCCTCGCACAGTAAACCGACTTAAAGGGCAGATAAACTAAACTAGGGCGTGACTTGATTGCTTACATAAAATGGGCCTGAAACGGAACTGGGATATATATTATATATAAAATATATTAGATGGAAAGTATGGAAATTTTTAGACAGGCAACAAAGTATTGTAGAACAACCAACCAGAACCTGATAAAAATCTGAGCAAACTTGCTTTTGAATTAATTAGTCATTTGTCCCATTTTTTCAGACAGACTTAAATGAATAGATAAGGAAGCACACTTTTCGCTAAATAGACGTCATAAATGTTTGCTTTGTCTATTGTTTAACCAAAAATGTTTGTTTGCATATGCAATAAAATAATTAAAATCTTTATTATATGATAAAAGAAGAAAAAGAAGCATCAGGTTCACTGGATTACTTCTTATCTCAAGACTTTTACCATTCTCAAAGAAATAATACATTTTCAAAGATACAAAGATCAACTAAACTTCTGCATCAATTTAAAAACAATTTTTACATTACTGTTCTGATTTTAAATAAGTTATTAAGTCTGTATTTCCTAGCCGAAAATTAATCTTGATATTTATATCAAGATCAGCTTGAACACATCAACACTATCGCATTAAATTAGTTGAACAACATGATTTCTAATCTTATTTTTAATTACATATTATTACATATCTGCTCGGATTTAAAATATTGTCCTATAAAAAACCAATAAATCAAAGAGCTAATATTAATGGAGTGCATGGCAACCTTAAATTTGAATACATTAAAGATCTGGATCTCCTTCCAAGATTCTCCCTAGTAGCTATTTCTAAAAGGAATTCGCATTGAAATAGTTGCCGTGATTTATTGAAGTATCACGTCGACTGTGTTGGAGTAACATTAATTGTGTCATAATCTGCTTGCTAATGCCAATCAGTAGGCTAACCGATTTTATTTCAGGTGCCAACTGTTGCATTTGCATCAGGTGTTGGATACATTTACTTTGTATTTTTTTTTGTTAACTTATCTACTTGTTATTGTTGTCAGCGGCGGCAGGCGATGTGATAAATGAATTTAATAGTTTTACGGACAGCTTAAACGCCCCCTTCCTTTCCATATGCAACACTCGGCGATCGAGATTTGAATTGTTTTCGATACAAAGTCACATAATTAGCAACAGTCTGAGTTAAAGCCACAGTCAAAGTCAGAGTCAGAGCTTCGGGCCAACTTATGACAATGACCATTGGGCGTGTGGAATGTGTCGCCAATGACTGACTGGACTGACCAACCAACTGGTTTTCCATTCCAATTTTGGGGTTTTTGGTAATTTGGCCAGGCATTCTTGGCATCGTTTCAAAGGAAATCAACTCAATCGAAAACTGCAGCAAACAAGTCACAATGCTGCAGTCTAGTTTTCCTACATTTATTGTATCCATTTGCAGGTTTATTTATTTGTCCATATATCCATTTAAAAGCGTATTGACACTAATGTGATTGCTTTGATTTGTCTATATCAATTACCAATTTAGTTCGTGAGTTTCGATTAGATTTTATGTTCTTACCAAACAGACGGATTATAAATGACTAGTTACCTACTGGTTTTCAAATATTTTGACTTCTTGTCTTGGTATTAAGCATTCAAACGAATTGCAGCGCTTACTTTATGACAGGTTCTTATTAAATTAAATGGTGAAGTGTGATGGAATTTAACTATGGACGTCAGAATTATATTAAACCACTTAAATAAACATTAATCTGTGGTCATTAGGTATGTCATCAGGTAGTGAGATTTTAATTGAAACATCCATGACATCAAGTCAATTTGAATTTTAATAAATGGTTTGAAAAAGTAATAAAAAAAATTATATAAATAAATAAATACTACTTTTACACGTTAGATTTTTATTTTTTCTTTGTTTTATTCGGATAAAATTTGATTTTGCCCCGTCTATTATATATTAGGATCATTAAAAATGAAAACATTTCAGACATTCGAAGTTACTAAAATAACTCTTTATAAAAAGCTCTATACTCTATATAAAAAATATGATAAAATATCTTTACAATTTTTTTGTTAATTAAAAGCACAAAGTAACTCTTTAAACCCCATTATAATCCTGAAATATCCTTGATCCTTTTCAGTGGAAACGCGATGTGCAGATGGTGAAGGAGCTGCATGCGGGAACGTACCGCTTCTCCTTGTCTTGGCCACGAATTATGCCCGGTGGCTACATGAACCACGTGAGCACCGCGGGCATCAAGTACTACTCCAATTTGATCGACGAGCTGCTCCGCTACAACATCACTCCCATGGTGACCATCTACCACTGGGACATGCCACAAAGGTTGCAGGAGCTGGGTGGCTGGACCAATCCGGAGATCATTCCGGTTTTCAAGGACTTCGCACGATTGGTTATTGAAATGTTCGGAGATCGGGTGAAGACTTGGATCACCATCAATGAGCCGTGGCATGTGTGTGAACATGGTTATGGAGTGGATTACATGGCACCTTCTTATAATTATCCTGGCATTCCCGCTTATCTCTGTGGCCACAATATTCTGAAGGCCCACGCCGAAGTGGTGCACATGTACCGCGAACTCTTCCAGCAGCGTCAAGGTGGCCGCATTGGCATCACCATCGATTCATCCTGGGCGGAACCCAAGGATGCTAACTCTGCTGAGGATCGCGAGGCATCTGAGAGGGCTCTCCAGTTTTATGTGGGTTGGTTTGCCCATCCGATCTTCTCCAAGCACGGAAATTACCCCAAAGTGATGATTGAGCGGATCAGGAACCTCAGCAAGGAGCAGGGATTTGGTGTGCGTTCCAGGTTGCCCGAATTTACGCAGGAGGAGATCCGTCGCATCCGCGGCACCTCCGACTTTTTTGGTCTCAACACCTACACCAGCAACCTGGTCACCTCGAATGGACACAACAACACCGGCAACTTCCCTGTTCCGTCCTTCAATCACGACATGGGAGTGGTCGAGAGCAAGGACCCCGAATGGCCAGGTTCCGGATCCGAATGGCTTAAGGTGAGTTAGAGGATTGGGATTGTAGTTTCAAAATGAAAGTAGAGTGAATTGAGAACCATGCAGTTTAACTCAGAAAATGTTAAAAGCGGGGGTATTTAACTTTATTAGGTAGCAAATTAGGAACTGCTTAAATTCCAGATAATTTATATAAAAAGTTAAGAATCAGAGGTAAAATAATTAGTCTCTCTTGATCAACGTACATAAATATTTCCATAAATAATATAAATATTTTAAATACACTAGAAAAAAGCTTTCAAGGAAGCAATTTCTTTTTCCAAGCAAAACTGACTTTAAAGCACTTAAAAAGTTGAGGAGAACCCAGAATAATTTCATTAAGAGGTCAGGAGGCAAAGAGTGCTCCTGGCAATGGCCACAATTTTACACGAGGACCACATTTCCGTCATCCCGACGACTTCAATTATCTTTCGCTTAGTCGGCTAAATTGATTGGGGCTCATCCTCCCGAGACAAGATGGGGATGGAGATGGTAAATCCCTCCTGGACGTGAGGTTGAGGTGGTGTAATTAACTTGGTGGAGTGCTCGAGGTAACCGAAGTGGAGGGTTGACCTATCCCCACTTGCAGTTTGAATTATGGTTTGCCGAGTAAACTACTTAGCCGGGGAATCAAAAGAAGAGGGTGACTTTCGACCAGGTGGCGCGCAGGTGAATGAACTCCACTAACCAGGGGGTTGTACTCCTTGTATTCTTGTATTCAATTTTCGCAGGTCTTTCCCAAGGGAATGTACAATCTGTTGATGTGGATACACCGCGAATACAATGCGCCCGAGATTATCATCACGGAGAATGGAGTCAGTGATCGCGGTGGACTGGATGACTATGCTCGCGTGGATTACTACAATCTGTATCTGTCGGCGGTTCTGGATGCCATCGAAGATGGTGCAAATGTCAGAGGTTATACCGCCTGGAGTCTGATGGACAGCTACGAGTGGAAGGTCGGCTACACGGAGAAGTTCGGACTCTACCACGTGGACTTCAATTCGCCGGAAAGAACGCGAACCCCAAAGGTTTCGGCGCGAGTTTTTGCCCAGATCTGCAAGACGAACACCATCGACTGGAGCTACCGACCAACGCTCGATGAGGAGCAGCAACTGGTGGCCATGGCTCAGCTGCCGGAGGAGGATCAGGTGGCCAGGACGAGTGGAGCCAGTGGCATCATGAGTTGGAGCCTCACTGGCCTCCTCATTGTGGCCCTCTTCAGATGAGCTGAAGATGAGATGAACGAGTCGAAATGCCTTGCCATACTCAACTTGTCAACTTGTCGTGATGCCAAGTATTGTTTGCTACTCGTAACCCTAAGTTTGTCTAACCAGCGATCTAATAAATTATGTATAGATGTTCTAATTTGTACTTAAGCTAAAAGACTCGAAACTGAATAAAACGTTTTTGTGATATTATAAAGAAGTTTTTATGAATGAATAATGGAAAATTGTAGAAAATTGGGAACTAAAAAATTTAAATCGATTTGATAGTTAATAAAAGAGTTAAGAAATTTCGAAAGTATTTATCTTCAAACAAGATGAAACTTAGAAGAGGGTAAGAATTATATTATATGATAGCTCTGAAATATCCCGAGCTTTGAAATATATATAAACATGAAAGAAATAACAATTTAAGTGTGACGCCTTTAAAAATTTTACCTTCTTGGCAGATTAATGTGTAAAAATAAAGTTGTTTTTTTTTCTTTTTTTTGTGTTTTTGCAAACAGTTAAAAATATCCGTTTATTTCCTGAACCATAAACCGATCATAATTTTACTTAATGACCCGTAAACAAATAAATATAAAAAATCTTCAAACTGATGCGAAAAGCTTTATATTTTCGTCATACAAATGCGTCAGATTTGATCTGAAAACCTTGAAAGATCTTTTATTGGAAGACGAGAACTCCCATTCACCGCAGAGTTCATTCAGATGTTAATGCAGCCCTCTAAGAGGTCTTTCTATATACATACGTATATAGTTCACCATCTAAATCGATCCAAAGTGACATTTACATGAAGTAATTTCCATGAGCTGTCTTCCAACATTTCCGCAAGTGAATCAAACAAAAGATCCAATGATCTGTGATCTTTTCGCGGCACAATAAACCCTGATATCGAGGGGGTATTATATCATATCATCGGCTGGTGGATAATTGTAGGGGTGTTCTGTGTGGACATTGGCCCAGCATGAATCGGAATAATAAGTCCCTGTGCTAATGACTCTGATTAAATCACTCGCTTATGCATATGAAGGTGTATTCTCCGCATGAACACAACATCCGCTTGGCCTTAGTTTTTTCAAGTCAAGAGAAACTTTCTAAACTTCAGAATCGAAAGCTATACGGAATCAGAATCGAAATTTAAATTGAAATCGTAGGTATTCAGAATTGTTTGCGTGTTTGTTTAACTCCAGAACCAGTTACCTTTCATTTTTCATTTTGGGTAATGCTCATTTTAATTTACACTTATTTTTTATGCATTTAGCTGGATTTATTGTTTCAGTTTGCTCAAGTCACACGAAAACTGCTGAATAAATTAAGTGATTGTTGCAGATTGTTGTTGTTGTTGTAGGAAACATTACCGAAGTGCCAATGTCAGGAGGTGAAAGGCGTTGGGGGCAGGAACCCCTTTTTTTCTGGGGGAGGGGCTCGTCTACAGTCTGGTCTCGACCTGAACGGCGTGCTCCCAGTTGGATTTGCACCTGTTCGAGTCACGAGCCGACTTCGAACATATTCATAATTCATCAGACGAGCGTCTGGAGCTGGCAACAAAAGCCTGAATAGAAAATAAAGCTAAGGGCTTGATTCTACAAGAAAAGTACTTACATTCAAATCAATTGCTAAGGGGTTTTTTATAAGCCAAACCAATTTAATATTCAATGAGAACATTAATTTTCTGTTTTTACATGAATTCAAGTCATCTTATTTAAAACAGATAAGTTATTAAACGCTTTTAAAGTATGTATTTGTTAATATTTTTAGGCAAACAATTCGCGTCAAGCTGCAGGTAAATTAAGCAAAACTCCGATGTTTTGCAAACAAGGCTGTTAAAATATTTAAATAAATTTGAATAGAATTTCACTGTTTTTAATTAAATGCGAAAGTTTAACCGAAAATGGTTCACAACAGTTTATTAAAAACATGTTTAAATATTATATACATATATAAAATACCTCAACAAATGCAAGTTAATTGAGTTTGAATTCTACTAGCTGTGAATATTATTTTAGCTAATGCAAAAAGTATAATTTTTTTACTTTGTTAAAATTATAACAATTGTTATATCAACCGGAATTGAACAAACAAATTTAATGGCAATGAACTGCGGTAATCTGCCAATAGTTTTTTTCCATGAGCCATGATTAATGAGACCTAATGGGCAGTAGAAGTCAAGAGTATATCAATCAATATAACTATAAGATCCGTTTCAGTTTTCAATATCCCTCTTTCACTTTTCCCCTTTATATATACACCTTTGTGGAAGAACCCACAATTAACACAGGCTAAAAATACTGTGTAAACAAAGTGTGTCACTAAACTTGGTAAAAGCAACCAAACCGCCAAACAAATAACTTAAAAAACCTTTTGGAGTTGGATGCTCTCAGCAGTTTTTTTGTGACGTTTTATTACCGATGAAATTTTACTGGGGATTGCATCAGAAAATGTTTAGTTGTGAGTTAAGTTTGCACGAACTTCGCGAAACGGAAACATGTGATTTATGCACGGGTTTTGTTTTCTGTTTTCTTTTGAAAAGGTCAGAGAGTGAATAATATAAATAAATCCATATTAAATATAGATCCCGATCTTCATTAACTTTATCTGCAGATAACGTTTAAAAATATAATACGGGTTCTACGCACCTCAATTAATTTTAAATTTAAATTGTATTAACCTGAAATAAAAAAATTTATCTATTGATAAGTCTATAACGATTTTCAGGACATTCAACCTTCATTTCCCAAGCTGATGGTACAAATTTGAAATACTACAGAAAAATATTTAAGCAGTATAACCGGTTCATTGACGCAAAGCGGTTTTTTGGTTTGTGAATTGGCTAAACCTAATAACGGGAATTCAATGCATACTTTTGGGCACACTGATTGGTTAAGTTTGACAAACTAAACAAACTCGAAGTCCTCTTAAAAATTGGAAAACAATTAATTAATTAAAATCAAGACACAAGCAAAAAAAATTGGGATAAATCGTAATAATATTTTTAAATATCAACTGAAATGGCACAAAATGACTTAATCTAAAAATAAATATTAATATGAACACTTGTGTTTGGAATCAATGAATATGAACATGAAGTAGAGTTCTTTTATACAAAAGCTGATAAATGCAACGTAAAAGCATAAACAGCTTAAGAATGAACAAATTTGTGTTTAAACTTGCATTGTCACGTTGTTTTTCCGGAATAAAACGTGCTCAGAATGCTGATCCATATTTGCAGAAAAAAAGGAATGTTTATCGTCCCTTATCAACTTTTGGGATTAACCCGCTGTGCCATTTATCAAACATTTCATAGACCTCAATGCACTTATTGAAAATTAATACGGCTTAGGAGCCACAATAGTGCAGAAATCAGCACACATGCTTTTCCATATCACCACCCTCTGGTTTTCGCCCTCGCATTAATCCCGCGAACAAGGCATTAAAAGGGATCTCTGGAGCTAGACAAACATCTGTCCAGGATGCGGATGTTGGCCTGGCCAAAGGATTAAATAACAATAAGTGACAAACTAAATTAAAAATCAGAGTTCAATTTGGTTTGGTTGCAGTTCCATCATTAAATTCAATTCCAAGAAAATTTAATAGAGAAAAATTATTTTTCAATAGCAACAAAGGGCAATCAAGTTAATAATGTGTACACAGATTTCTGTGGCCCCGTGGTTAATTTGATTACCATTTTTACACCGAAAAATAAATAGTATAAAGAATGCGGGCAGCCTCAAAAAAATATCTTTACAATATAAGAATTATATATTAAGCGTACGAGTAGCAAATAAATGTTATAAGTACTAACAAAAATATCAACCTGCTTTTGAAAATGTTATTTTTATATCATTGTTTTAAGGTTTTACTATGTTTTATAAAAATTCTACATTAATTTTATGGTACCCCCATATTTAATGGTGTAAAACAACAATTAACCACAATGCAGCAATTGAGTTAACCCTTTGAAATCAATACTCAATTACATCACATACCAATATATAAATTTTCATAAAGTGCAGCACTGATTGAAACATTCTGTTGTAATATATAGCCCTCATAATTTGGCTGGTTCGCTTTACCCATTTTACCAGTCTTATGTAATGTCACTTCAGAGTCCCCTTCTCAAGTAGATTAAGTTTGGCGATAAAGTATCATTGAATCATCGAGTTTTGTGCTTTTTGTTGGGTCGTTAAATGGCATCCAAGTCTAGTTAGTTGTATAGAAAACACATCCCCTCGAAGTTGCTGAGGCTTAGTAATTTTCTGGACAACAAAAGAACGAGGAGAGCACCCTCATACAATTATTGAGCAACTGTTCGGTATGGAAATGGTTTTTAGAGCCCCCCCATTGGAGAGATATCAGAGTTCTTGGCACTTCAATTGGTTTTCCCATAAATCTTACCCTGAACTTTGACCGAGGCATGGGAAAATCGGAAGTAACTAGAAATGATCCTTTGGGTGTGAGTTTCAGGACCTTCATTTAATTATGGGAAATGAAAAAAGGAAAGAAAGAAATAAAGGTTTCTTCGTCTCGTCAGCTGTTTTCTAGGTTCATAAATAACCAGAAAAAAAGGTGCAAAGGTTGAAGGGAGGGTTGAGATTCATTTTAGAACGTGCCGAGATCATAAAGCAGCTGATCCTTTTCTCTTTCTATAAATCAACAAAACAGAAATCTCTATTTTCCAGTTTTCAAGTCCAAGTTCATTGCACTTTCCACCGCCTCGCATTTGCTATAATGACAAACCAATTACCAGCCTAAAGACCTGGACTTGGACGTGGACTTGGTTTACGACACGCACGTTTTCAGAGGAGTCCAGGCGACGGTTTGATTGCGCAACAAATTGGACAAACGACGCATGTCACCCCTTTTTAGGATGAAAAAACAGTTAGAGCCATATTTGAGACAGTGACAAATGTTCGCATCCAAGTGACGAGGACATGCATTGTCGGTTATGCGTTGATAGATTGGGATAACTAAAGAACAAGATGTGTTCAAGAACATAGATAAAAAAAATTATGACTTAGACCAACCCTTACATTTTTAATTATTAAAACAATTTCAATTTAAAAATTCTAAGTGATTTCTTAAAATTATTAACTTTTAAAATAGCTATATTAATCATTTTATTTTAGTAGGTATAAATATTAAAAAATCAACTTGAAGAATATTATTTTAATGTTCTATTTTTAATTGTTCTTAAAA